CTCAGGTATCCTGAAGAATCGAATCGGCTGTCCCCCAGCACTCCAGGGTCTTTCCACCGTGGGCCGCGTCCCCAGTGAGCTCAACTGGTACCGAACCTCTACTCTGGGCCACCGGGGCGTTCCCGCCGCCTCGTACGGTCGCATGTACTCCGCCACGGCCGGTGCCAGCGGAGGTTCCGGCTCGCTCTCTCAACCGGCTTCCCGCTACTCCTCCAGGGAACACCTGGACTCGCTGTCCCGGAGGCAGTTGTCCAGGGACCCGCTTGGGAGGCAGACGGTTGGGGGGTCGAGGGACCGACTGGACTCCCGGGGTTCCAGGGACAACCTCGATCTCCTACCCAGGAGGAGGGAGCTGGGACAGGGTGCCGGGCTGGGGGGACTGGGGCTGGATCACCAGCGAGTCTCATCGTCCAGGGAGAACTTGACGGGATCCAGGGACAGACTGGACAACCACCACGCGGGCAGCGTCCACGCCTCGAGGGAGGACTTGAGTGTGAACGGGGGAGCGGTCGGGTTGGGAGTGGAGGGCTACCTCAGCGGGTCCAGGTCGCACCTGAACTCGCTAACTCGGCGGCAGGCCTCGTCCCGAGAGCACCTCGGGGGGGCTCTGATGAGCAGCCGGTCCAGGGAGCAGCTGGAGAGCAACGGGGGCGGAGCCCAGGCTCAGCCGTGTCGGGAGTGGCTCCGCACGCTGCCTCCCCGGCAGCCCTCGCACCCGGACCAGCCTCCCTCCTCCTCCCCTCCTCCCCCCATCTCCGAGGAGCCCCACCAGGAGCATCACCCGGCTCACGTCAGAGGGCGACTGGACTCTGCGCCTCCATGTAGGTACCCGGGTCAGACTGTGCCCCAGGTCGCAGGCTCTAGTCCCAACCGCTGGGCCGACAGCCGTCCAGCGAGCACCTGGATATTCTGTCCTCCATCCTGGCGTCCTTCAGTTCCTCCGTCCTCACTCCTCCCCACGCCGCCTCGAACCCTGGGCCCAATGGCTCCGCCCATGGGCCCTCCCCCTCCCCGCCCCAGTCAGCCACCTCCCACAGCATATCTGAAGTCTCCCCCGACTCCGAGTAAGTCCTTGTGGTTTTGAAAACAGTCGGCCTGCACTCGCCCTCTCCTGTCCCTTTTTCCATTTGATGTCCTGTCCTTCGTCTTCAGCCCGTCATTGTCTGTGATCCCGTGAAAACACGGCTTGTTGTGCACTGCATCTGCCCCCTTTTCTATCCCCCGACTGATTTCTGCATCCTCCAGCATCTCCACAGGGACCATGTCCACTTCCTCCCATCTATTTCAGCTTAACTTTACTCCTCCATTTCCTACTTTCTAGCTTGTGTAGCGCTTTACGTGTAAGTGAAACTACAATCAGTAGAGAGGTGAGTGAACGTATTCATGACTCATTTTTCTTTCCATCCTCGCAGAGCCAACAGAAGTGAAGGACAGTCTTGATGACAGCCTCCACATCCCTTTATGCATTGCGAGGTTGAAACACCGGGGCAAGGTCAAAGGTCATGGATGGTCCTGAGCCACTGAGGCAACCTGGGACCTCTGAGGCCTAGAAACAAACGTGGGTGAGAGGAGGAAGAGTTAGAAGAACGTAAGGCAGAGAGCATCCGTGAGGATAAAAGAGGGCTTGTGGTCCGTTTGTATAAATTAGATTGTCTCTCCACAGTCCCACTGCCTACAAGGATCTTTGACTCGATCGATGACTCCCCACTTCTACCTAAAAACTGTTAAAAGACAAACACGTCAAGTCAACTTGATCCAGTGTAAAAGAAGAAAAAAAGACTGTAAATAACATTTTTATACATTTTGTATCTTTTTCATTGGAGATGAAGAAGAAATCTTTTGTGACGTCTTTTTTTTTGTTTTTTTTAATGACTGTCTGTGTGCGGTGGTGAGTGAGGTTTGTGCGAGTGGATTCTTGTTTGTTGCCGAGGGACACATTTTGCATACGAAAAAAAAAAAAAAAATCCCCAAATTTTCCCTCCAAAAACCGTTTCCCTTACACTCATCGACTGTATAGCGACGGCAGGGGTCCGCCAATAGTATCTGATGAGATTATTAGAACACGTGGTTGAAGCAAAAATATCAAAGTTGCGAAAAGTGATTGTACATAGAGGGAGGGGTTATTATAGGAGAGAGATATGATGGAAGATGATTGTGAAGAGAAAGATGGTCAACATTAAGCTAAAGCGCCACGCGATGGTTCAGAGGTGGTGGTTCCACCATCAAAGCTCGGTCCCGAGCGTCCCGGTGTCCCTTCTCTCAGGAGATTGTTCTGTATTCTGATCCACTGCATATGAATGTGACCTCGTCCTCTGTCTTTGTGTGTCTTTGTGCCTGTTGCCGTGTGAACCTTGACCATATCAGTTCGAGTGGTATTCTGCAGATCAGGCGGGCGAAGGCAGATAGATCTGCTTCCCCGTACGAGGCTTCATCATGTAACAACCACTGAAAGACCCTCAGCGGTGTTTGTGCTCTTTGATGCATTATAACTCAACCTGCCTCAAGATGCGCCGCAGGAGCAGCCCAACCTCTCCGCCAGTATCCACGAGGGGCTCGTATGTAAGAGCTTCTCATGCAGAAGTTCTCTGCAAATCCAAGCCAAAGGGACAGCTGCTTAAAATCAGTGCAACACGTTTTGTTTTCAGTTTCTGTGTGTGATGAAAATGACTTGTGTGATTTACAGTTTGGTTTTTAATTTTGATTAGTTTTATTCATGATTGTGCCATGGAATCAATTATAAACGAGGCCCCAGACCTTCTCTACGACACTATCCACTGCGGCTGGCATCTTGGTTGGCAGCAGACCGCATCAGCGTGTCGGTGGAGGAGAGCGGGTCCCAGGGAACGCGGTGCGAGTCCCGTCCTAGTGCTTGCCCAGATATTCGCCTGGAGACCTGAAAGCAGACCTGCAGTACATATCCAGCATGGTATCTACCTGAATATATTAGCTCATGTCAGTAACACATGAATCTGATGCAAGGTTTCTTTTTTTTAACTGCTTGGCTGATCAGTTTCCGGGAGAATATCTTTTATACATGAGAAACTTCCTGAATTTGCAAATGTGCTCAACAAACATCCAACACAAGCTGTCATTGATGGAGAAGTTGACAACAGAACACATGAATACAGATGTGCTCCTGTGGTTTATGCTGCTGAACAGAGATGAGATCTCCCGCAAGATCCGACGTATCTTCGGCAGCTCGCTGAGGGGAGACGTCAGTCGTGTCAGCGCTAAAAGCCTCTAAGTGGTTTTGAGACGCGGCCCCTCTCCATCAGCAACGTGTCCTTTCTCACAGCTGTTGGAGCGAGCGCTGATGACGGGCCTCGAGGTAACAACGCACAGGCGTTTGTAAGCAAATGCCAACAGCCTGCAGAGGGAATAAGGGCACTGTGGCTAAATCGGCCGCAAAGAAATGACGTTGTTCATGAAAAACCTGAAGGTGAAAGGAGGTTTCTGTGTTGGCCCTCGAGCAGAGAGCACTGACATTCAAACGGCACTTGTAAAAACACTACAGCAGAACAAGAAGGCCAAAAGAGCACAACGGGCATAAGAACAAATCGTGTGGTACAAACTGAGAGATGGCCGGGACACATTGAGTCAGCTGTACGGGGAGGAGGGGGGTCGGCGTTATTTATCGCAGAAAGGAAAACAAACCAGCATGGAAATAGATAGCAGGAATAAATACACACAACCGCCTTGCGAATGCATATCTCCCTTTTTTGACAGCCCATTATTACAGTTGCATTGCCAAAAAATGCTCAAGATGCTCTGCAGAGCAGAAGCATTTTCTCCTCACGTTTCTTTCAGCTGCTCCATTTTCGTTCCCCCATTTGCTATTCACAGATCCATTGTTTATCTTCAACTGACAATACCTTTAACTTGTACAGACATGAGATTTATTTTATTTATCAATAATTTATTAACATTAATTTATATTGCCATTTTTGTATTATTTTTGTTGCGTTGAAATGTTCCCCTTTGTCTGCTTATGTCTCTCGGTGCAACAAATTCACAATTGAAGGACAAGAGACGGGACTGTGAAGATACAAATTTGAGGCAGGGTGCTTTGCTTTTCAGAATTGGATTTATTTGTTTTTTTTATCCAATCATGGGGTTAAAACCTGTAAAAATATGACAAAACTTGAATTTCAACCTTGTTTCCACAGACTAAATGTGCACATACTGGATGTAAATGGTGCAGATACGTCCAGAATCAAAACCTCTTTGCTCAGTGTTATTGTTCACAGCTTCGGTCACAAAATCCGATTGTTAACTGATATTGTTCAGAATGATTACAAATGATAACTGCAGCTTCAGGTTGACGTGGTCCGGACCGACAGGAGGCGAGAAACATTAAATAAACACCAAATTGTGATGTGCTCTAAAAAAAGAAAATAATTGGGTGACGGAAAGAAAGGAAGAGTGAGATCCAGTCTGGGTAGGAGGAGGGTTTGTCTTTGTTAGCTTGTGTGTTCATTATGGGATGCCTTCTATCCCGCCGTCGGCAAGGAAACAGATGTTCCCCTGTTACCGCGGAAACAAGAGAAATGTTGGACATTAAAAAAATAACTTATTCCTACTTGGCTGGGTTTGTTTATTCTGTGTGTTGTTTCATCTCCACGGGAGGAAACGTCCTGAGAGACAACGATTTTCTGGACATCTCGCTCTGTCCCTGTTTTGACTCGAGTGTCCTCTCACGCTTCATTCCCAGTAAAAACAATATAAAAAGCCCCCAGATGTGTTTTTTTCCCCACTTACACAGCGACTGGCAAAAGAAATCCGTGCTCCTACTGGATTAGTATTATTTAAATACAGAATACGTGCATTAACACACACAGAGGGAACTGGGATATTTAGTTTACTTCTATCCAGAGGGTTAGACCGATGTTGTCCTACCAGCAGCGTGATAATGTGTCCACACACTGTTAGCCGCGTAGCTTGTGTTACGTTTTTCATTCATTCATTGTCTTGTTTGTCACCCGTCAGTAGTCAACTCCAAATTCAAAAAAAATACAAATGTATTCTGTGTCGGCTTACATAAAGTTAACACGCCAAATAAGCTATGCAGGGAAAAAACATCTGGATCTAGATTGTCCATTAAGGCATGTCATTACGTTTCTACATCTGCTGCAACTTGATGTAATAAATTCTGTAAGAATTACACATTCTCCCTAGAATAAGGCTTATGAGCTTTATCAACCCTAAAAACCCATGAATTCTTTCAGTATTAAAACCACGCTGTGATTTTGATCACTTTCAATATGCTGTGCAATGTTTATTACGTTCGTCCTTCATAGCACTTCCATTAATTTAAGTTGAGGAAGTATTAGAATAAATTGTTTTCTATTACTACAAACAATTTAGTCTGTCTAAGCCCTCTAAAGTATTTTAGAGAGTGGCTGCTGCTCTGCAGATCATTCGTTTTTTATGATTTAACCGTTGTTCTCGTCTCCAAAAAGCTGCCTGTGTACTTTTGAGTCGTCTGCAAACCAAGTAATGTCACTTCTGCCTTCCACCACAGCCAAACATGGGTCTTACGCAGGGAAAGTGAACATCCCCCTTTGTGTCACAGCCAATTCAAAACAAGTGAAAATCCTCCTTTTGCATTACGATACCAGACAACGTATGAAACTGGCACGGCGGATAGACAAGAGTGTAAAAGAACCGATAACGATGCAACAAATTGCAGAAGTTCATCCCAATTGTCCGCACGATTTTGCCTCATCGTCGCTGCTGGACGAAGACGGCGGCACGTCCTCGCCCATCCGCTTTAGCTTGGCTTTGTAGTAAGACTTCTTCATCCTGAAGGCCTTCTCCTTCTGCCGCGCCGCTCTCGTCTTCTCCCTCACCAGCTCCTGCTCCCACGCCAGCACCTTCATCCTGTTCTCCCACTCCAGGATCTTCATCTGCTGCTGCTGCCTCACGGCGTCGGCCCTCTGCTGGTGCTCCCGTCTCGACAGGTCCGCGTGGTCGAGGTGTGGAGATGAGCGGCGGGTCGCCCCGTCCGACTCGCCGCCGGCCGGGTCCAAGCGCTGGCTCGCGACGGGGGAGGTGCCTGCAAGGCCTGAGGGGGGAAAAAAAAGAAGGAAAAAGTTCACTGCGGGGAACCCGGTGTTCCTGAATGCATCGGTACAATACAGAGTACTAAATGCATTGGGATCCATTTTAAAGCCAAACAGCACTGGGATCAGCGGTTTAGACAAGGGACCAAGAACCTTCTGAAGGCGTGCCGCCGTAGGTTGGAATCAGGGACTACATTTAGTTCATCAAATATAGAGAAGGCACTTTGCCTTTTTCTCATCTTCAGGGGCCTACACAATAACCCCTTTCAGCTGAAGGTCATCGGTGCTGTTTATTTAATCGTTTCTTCATAAGAGAAACACATAAAACATTCAAAGGTCACCCTTATTTTCTAACAAAGATCACTGAACACGTGTCTCTAGGCAACCAATAGCGTGGCAGCTTGCAGAGCTTCACTGACCTGGCGCTGCCAAGTAGGCAGCAGGAAATGTCCCATCCTGGAGCTCTGCATTGTGGGAGATGGCGTTTGTAGTGGGGCCGTGGGGCAGATTGGACCAGTCGCTGCTCGTTATTCTGTCCAAGGTGTCCCGCTGCAGGCAGATGGCCACTTGCTCCTTGCTGTCCTCAGTCTGGGACAAAGAGAGTGAAGTGCGTGTTTATAGTCAGTGGTTCCCCAAACTCTTTAGGGTGAAGGACCCCTTAAATTGGATAAATGAGTCCACAGACCCCACACAAAAAAAGAGTTGTCCAAGGATCCCAGAGGTACACGTTTTGTCACAGAAAGGATATTAAACCAAACACCAAAGTCACAATCTGGCAGTTTGTTTTCTCCATAATTCAAAGTATTGCCCTTTTTACCCCCTTGAGGTCCCCGGGGCGATCAATGTTACTGTAGGAGCGGCTCCAAGTTAATTTTGAATGTTCTTTGGTTTAATTGATGTTTGAAATGATGCCTGAGATCATTGTTAACCCAAAAGACAATTTGGAAATATTTACCTGCTTCACGCTGCCGTTAATCTGCCCGGCGGCGTTTGTCAGCATCACATTGTCTGCTCATGAGAGAAAAAGGACAGAAAGAGACCGTTGGTGAATGTATTACAGGAAAAGTAAAGAGCGCCTCCCACTGGTAAAGGCCGGTACAACAAAAACCCTTCACACATTACACATGTGTCCCAACCGCTGGTTGATGTTTTTAAAAGGATTATTCCAAGTATTGAAGCATAATGGGAAATGGGCAGAAATTCATCTAATTTAGGATTTGAATCTTGTCTTTATAAAAAACGTATCTGCTGTAATGACCATTTGTAACGATAACATTTAAGTGTTGAATTCAGGGATTATTGAACCAGTTTCCACGTTGGATTCTTGTGTAACTTTTTATCCAACTGATGATTTGAGGTAGCAGGAGTGAATTGAGGATTCGTATTCCAACTCCTGTCGCAGTGAGGATCCACCTCCCTCGAGTGACCTTAAACAGAATTATTGAATCTACATAGAAGACAGCTGAATCAGTGCTTACATAATGGAATAAACGGCTCGAGTCAAGTGAAAAGTATGAGATCCCAGCTTCTAAAAAGGTTTCTCTGCTCTTCTATCAACAACAAACAGGTAATTTACAAAACATTTGACAAGAAAAATTGGCTCTTGTTCTCTAAGTTGGAGCACTTGCTTAGGGACACTTCAACAGGCTGCAGATGTTCGGCTCCAGCAGCTCCTCGTCTCCCCCGCACATCAGCATTGACGCCCGTGTTTGCTGTGCAGCCTAACAATTATGAGCACGTTAGTGAAAAACGAGCAGATGATGACGTAGTACAACTCCTGAAAAGGATTTGATAAGAATTTTAGAGAGCTCCTTTCATGTTTTTGGAGTGTTTTTAGGCTGAGGAAGAGTGATTTTAGCAGTCTTAGGCAGTGGTGGGACCGCGGTAAGATTGAGACTGGGCTTCTTTGTCACCAGCACACTTTCAACGTCACCAGAGACATCACCAGATCTATGAAGGACCTGGAGACTGATATAGTGGAACTAAAGCATTTAAGGGAGTCCACAGGAGAGCGAGGACATATTGAAGTCCTCAAGATTAAAAAAATGGCTCTGGCCGACCTGTTGGACGGTGGTGGAACCATGCCAGACAAGGAACCGAGCGGTCAGCTTTTGCTCTTCCCTCTGTACCAGAGAGTACAGGAAGCACTGACGGAGGAGTTCATGAGCGAACTACCTCAAGTCTCTGAGGAGACAAACAAAGCGCTCGACAGGCCCATGACCGTGCAGGAGCTGAAGGCCGCCTTGCAGGGCATGCAGGGACGGCGTGCTCCCGCAGAATTTTATAAAACATTCTGGGAAATATTTGCACCTGACATCCTGGAGGTTTTTAATGAAAGTCTGGCCTCTGGCTCCATGCCGATGTCCTGCCGCAGAGCGGTAACAGCGCTGCTGGCGCCCTGTGTCTCTACTGTTTACAAGTTTCTGTCCAGGGGTCAGCCTCCAGGCTGAGGGAAGCTATGGAGCAGTTCAGTACAGATATATGCGTGGAAATGTGAGTAGAAGTAAAAAGTCGTCTGAAAAATAAATACTCTAGTAAAGTATAGATACCCAAAATTTCTACTTAAGTACAGTAACAAAGTATTTGTACTTGGTTACTTGACACCTCTGCATAGCTAAGATCAAAGTGTTGTACAGGGAGGTTGAGAGTGAGCTGAAGATAAACGGTAGTCTGTGTGCTCCTTTTAGGGAGCGACTTGAAGAGGATGTAAGTCGCTTTGGGTAAAAGCGTCAGCTAAAAGACCTGTAATGTAATGTAATCTGTGTGATCCTAATATTTGTCATCCCCATCATAATTGTCAATTTCCTTGTTTATTCTTGAAACTATCTTTTTTTCTTTTCTTTCATTCAAATGAAGCACATGACTTGGACATGCTCCATTGAAGACCAACACATCATGTGTAGAGCACTAAAGGGAATATGATGTCCCTCCAAATCAATAAAAACAAACACAAACAGTGGAAGAATCACCTCATGTCATTATAGAAAACAGAAGGTGTGACATGCCCACCATACATGTAGTGACTTGAGTAGTTACACGTGAGTAAATGCAGCCGCCTAGTGGAGCGGCCACACGAGGCTCGGTTCACTTCATGGAGAGAACCCGCTGTTGTTGGTCGCAGCTGAATTCCTCCTGGAAGAGCCTTCGGACATTATTCGTCTGTGAGTGCATGTTTTGTGTTGTTGTAAAGATTTAGACAATTTCGAAAGTATGTTGAATTTATGTCACTGAATTCTCCGCTGGAAAATAGCAGCTAAACTATGCTAGCTCTCTGTGTCATGTTATCCTGGTGCCACGTTGTTTTACGTGGTATTTATGTACCCTTTGTTTTGTCTGTTCCAGTTTGACAATGATCAATCCGGCATGAATAAATGCAGAGGATGAAAACATTACACATATGAAAATCAAGGCTGGTAGTTCATCTTTATTCATAAAGGAAAGTGTAAGCTAGCTGTCTGTTCCTGCCAAGAGGGAACGCAGGTTGAGGACAGCAACACATTAAAAGTGCAATGAAAAACTGTTTTGTCATTACCAAAGTAATATATTAATATGCTAATCGATGCAATGTACAATATTCATATTCATGAAGAGAACCCTTTTAAAGTGTGTAAAATGATCCTCGTAGGGTCAGATGTGTTATGTAGCTGCATTAAGATCAAAGTTAGATTATGGGAGCTGCGTTCATGGATCTGAATCAGAAACTGTATTTAGAAGAGATGATCCATAACATCTGTGTTTCTCCATAGTGAGACACACTTCACACACATAAGAAACTAACACAAAGCCTTGGTTTGCATCATTGGAACTTCTTTACCTCCTGGTGTTATCTGTAACTATTTTGGCCTGCTGCTGACTTTAGTGGTAAATTATATTCTTTTATCATTAAAAACAGAAGACTGCGCTGTGAGGCCGTCCTAATAGACAGACTGAGAATAAGAGTCAGCATCCATGTTGTTAGAAACACAAAAATGTCTGATAGACACATGGTTGCTTAATATTTTTTAAATATACTTCATCTCCAGTCTGCTTTGCTATAACCATGATCGTAATTTGCAATACTACTATTTCTGTTTATGTGATTTAAACCTTGTTGAAAGTATTCTGGTGGAGGTCTTTCATATATATATATATATATATATATATATATATACACATCATCAACAAGTGTTTTTGTTCGGGCGATCAGTTCCATGGCAACGGAATGACATCAACAAGAGTCTTTGATGTGTCTCGGAACACTAGATCATTGCGTTTCTGGTTCTATAAGAGTGCAGCTGGATATTTTCTCTCAAAAGTATCTACGATTTTTGTCCTTTACACACTTAAGTAGTTTTTTTGAAGATTTACCACCATTTTTCAAAGGTTACATCGAGTCATTTAGCGACAAATAAAACACCAGTCTTTTTCAAGACTACACCCCTTTTCAGGGCTGACCAACAGTCTTTTTCAAGGCTATACAAGTATTCACCATGTACCGCGGAAACAACCAGAGAGCTGGAGCTGGCCCTTTAATCCCTGGACGTCCTCCGACTGGATACAATGTGAGTGTTGCACTTTCTCGAGCCAACAATGAAGTGCACTGCCTGAAAAGGCAAGTGAGCGAACTCAATGCCTACATTGAAACTGAGAAGGCCAATTTGTGCCGCCAGTTAGAAGGCAAAGATCTGGCCTTTGACCAGATGGTTTGCGAGCACAAAACAATGCTTTCAGACCACCAGATCCAGGTCAGGAATCTTATTGAGCAGAACAACCATTTAGTTCTGAAGCTCAGAGAGACAGAAGAACAACTCACTGTCAAAACTGCTGAACTCACGGTCAACAACCACACCTGGCAGCAGAAGTATGAAGAACTGGAGGAAAAGACATTCAAGGAACTGGATCACCAACAACAGTCCATGGAGTCTAAAGTAACAGGGTTACTCTCCACTAACGTTTCTCTTAAAGAGGAGCTGCACAAGCAGCAGGCCAGTAACCACCAGTTGGAAGAAAAGCACAAACTGCTGAAGATCCAGTCAGAGGCTCTGGCTGAGACTATCACAGAGAACGAGGGTTTATCGCTGAAGCTCACCGAGACCAAAGAACAACTCACTGTCAAAACTGCGGAAATCACGGTCAACAAGCAGACCTGGCAGCAGCTGGAAGCAGAACATGAACTGCTAAAGACCCAGAGGGATTCTCTGGCTGCTTTTAAAAAGAGCCAAGAGGAGACCCACCACGAGATGGTCACAAGCAGTGGTTTCCTGATCTCAAAGATCCGACAGGAAAATCAGATCCTTATCACCAGGATCCAGGATTTAGAGGACGACAAAACAGTCCTCGAGAACATCTGCCTCGACTTAAAAAAAAAGAAAAGAGGCATCTTTGGGAGACGGATGCAAGACCGGCAGACGGAGATGGAGAAAATGAGGCGCAAGATGCAGGACAAGGAGGCAAAGAAATAGTAGACAGAAGAGAAGAAAAAGGAGACCATCCAGGACGTCAACATCAACGTGCCTGAGACTGGACACCTGTAGGAACACCTTCCTTCATCTCCCACTCCATCCTACCTCATCCATCTACCCCCACTCCCCTTCCACCCGCGCTTCACAGCGCTCAAGATCCCACACACACACACACACACACACACACACACACACTCAAAAACAAAATGAATCTGACATGTCCATGTGTGTAAATACCAGGACACACACGCACACACACACACACACGCTCAAAAGCAAGCTGACTCTGACATGTCCATGTGTGTAAATACCAGGACACCAACACACACACACACACACAACGGCTCAAAAGCTGACTCTGACATGTCCATGTGTGTAAATACCAGGACAAACACACACACACACACACACACACACACACACACACACGCTCAAAAACAAGCTGACTCTGACATGTCCATGTGTGTAAATACCAGGACACTAACCACACACACACACACACACACACACACACGTTAAAAAGCAAGCTGACTCTGTAAAGTACCATGTGTGTAAATACCAGTACACACACACACACACACACACACACACACACACACACAGTGGTTTTTCCCTCCATCTATGGGTTTCCCACATTAAAAAAAATCTCCTCCTATCAACATCTGGAGGATACCATCACCAAAGAAAAATGTGATAACATGGGCCACCCCGTCATCTGTGGGTTCCCCTGTGGGTCCAAGCGCCAAACAACTTGGCAATATATATATATTTATGCCTGTTACAATAAAGCATTGTTAAAATTTGAACAAGTCTCTCTGGATTGAAATGGTTCTTGCAGCCTAATAGCTATATTTCTAAAGTGTTTTTAAAAAACACAAGCCCCAAGACAGTCTGGTTCTACGAAGAACCAACACCTTCTAAAGAACCGCTTTATCTATTAGATGTTCTACGTGTTTTTCGTTATTTGGGATATTAAATGGTTCTTTGACATATTAAAAGGTTCTTAATTCACGTTTGAGTTGTTGAATGGTGGGCGATGAAAAAAAAAACACCTCCGTGCCATGATGTTAGCTAGTTAGCGGCCAGTTGATACACACACGTCATATTTATAATATCATATAACATAATATAGGACTAATATAGTATCATACTTCATAGTTCTAATTTCATATAACAACATCATTTAGATTCAAAGATTTTTATTGTCAATTACACACTGTGTATTGAAATACTACAGCCGCCGTTGAGCCTTCTTGACCAGCTGCGTTGTATCGAGTGTCCTGGTGAGGTCCTCGCTGAAGTGGACCCCGAGGTATTTGAAGCTGCTCACCCTCTTAACTTCAAGCTCCTGGATGAAAAGTGGTCGATGAGGTCTCTTCTCCTTCCTCATGTCCACCATCAGCCTCTTGGTCTTGTCAGTGTTGAGGGTGAGGTTGTTCTCCTCGTACCGTGACACCAAACTGGCCACCTCCCTCCTGTATGCCGCTTCATTCCCCCAGTGATGCGTCCTGACACTGCGGTGACATCAGCAAACTTCAGGCAATGTTACTTAGTATACTTAGTATTTCTAATATCATAGAACATAATATCATAATACAGTGTTTTCCCTACCCTTACCAACGCTCACGCACCCTCCGGTACGTCCGCCCCCCCATAGTTGTGAACCTGGGGGAAACACTGATATGGCATAATATATATATATAAATATATATATATACACAATTATACATTTTGAAGAATTTACATTTGCCTGAGCACCTCTCTTTCCCATTTAAAAATGGCTGATATTTATTGTATATGTTAGAAAAACAACAGGTCGGGTTGGGCCCAAAACAGCCTCTTCCATAATAGATGTTTTCCAGAAAATTCTAAGGGAAACATAAACCACCGATCATTTTTCTAATATATTAATAATATTAGTTGTTTTTAAATAGGGAAAAGGTGCTCAGGCAAATGTAAATTATTCAATTTATATGTGTGCATGTGTATTTATATATATATATATATAATGATAAGAGTCCAAACAAGCTTGAGAAGGATGCCAGTGGCATTGATGGACAGACAGGAAGTGACCTCACCATAGCAACCTTTGGAAACGAAAGAACAAATTCTTGTTTTAACTTAAGTCACAAACCGAGGGAATGTTAGAGCTCGGTAGTTTTGTGTAGTTTGTCAACGGGTCTGTTACTCAAAACGGAATTTGTCTTTTGAAATGGTTACATTGTGAGTTTACATTTTTATTTATTTTTTAATCCAAATGTATGTTTCTTTGGAATTTAGATTGAACAAAAAAGAAAATTGGACCTAAATTGGATCTAAAATTGTCAAAAAACTACTCCATCGGGATGCATAAATATCTCTGCAATTATGGATTTACTTGTTCTTCGATTTACGCCTTCAATGATTTTCTTCAGTAGGCAATTTGACTGAGCTCAAATTCCCCTGCAGCAGTCAAACTAAGGTGAATATGTAACTCCGCGTAGGTTTATTTACCTTTCAATTGAAGCAAGTCAAGGATGTGGGTTTACAGATGGAGATACGAGAGAACGTCACGCAAATATACCTCTTTGTCTGAAATTCTTTTCTGGACTTTTGCCTGCGTGCTTGGGTGTGTTTTTGAGCTAAACTAAGCTAAATAGGTCAGAATTAGAGAAAGCTAGAGGAGGTATTATGTTAAAGCAGGGTTATTCTTTGTCGGCCCATTCATCTCTGAGAATGTGATGAGGGGGCCGGGCAAAAGACTAAAAGTGCAAAGTACTCTTCAAAAGGGGAAGTTGAAAGATGATAAAATATATATATATATATATATATATATATATAGCTGTTGATACCACCAACAAGAAAAACAGATGAATTGATCCTATAAGGATATTTTCTCTGCCCTTTGGGACTTTAACTGAAGGGTGGGCCGAGTTCCAGGTTACAGATGCGGGAGGAGATTCCCTTGGAGCAGCCGGCAGGGGTTCAGGTACGTAGCGGGCAGGTTGCGTGAGAGTCTGTGGTGTCCCGTAGAGACGAGACCAGACACTGAGTGCGTGAAGAGGAGTCGAATATAAAGGGAGGTGAACTGCTGAGGTGCAGGTGATGGTGATTAGAACTCAGGGGACTGTGAACGAGTGGGAGGAGTGAGTGAAGCTGGTGGGATCCTGACAGCCGGGCTGCGGCGGCCGAGCGGCCGGTTCCGGTGCCGTGGGCCAAAATCTACGGATCAGATTGAAGAACTTTTGTCAGAAGAAATGCGTAAATATGACCGCTTATACAAGCCGTCATTGGCGGGTTGCAGAAGCGGGTTGGATTCACGGAGGGAGATCGCCGCAAACGGCGGTTTGCAGGTCGAGAGGTGCACAAAGTTGTGGAGGAAAATACGGGACAAATGTGTCCGCGATGAAAAGCAGCAGTGGCGATGCACGGGGCAATAAAGTCTATGATAAATAAATAAACAAACCAACGACTTCCACACACAAAGACGCGACTCTCTAGGTCGTCTTCAACAGAAACACGTCACTCCCCCTGTTGTTCTGGAGGCGAATTGGTCTTTTAATCCAGTCTCCCTGGAGGTCAAACACATCATGAGGGGAGGTTGTTTCCAGTAAAGGCGCGGTTCGACCTTTTTATCAATGTGTATGCTCCAGCAATCGGTGCAGAGAGGAAGCTGTTTTTACAAAAAAGTTAATGAGCTTTTAGATGTCTGGGCCTCGGAGGATTTTTTATTCTTAGGGGGGGATTTTAACTGTACAGAAGATGCGACTACAGACCGCAACCACGCAGAGCCACATCCAGCTTCCCAGCAGGCTCTGAGGCGGCTGGTCCAGTCTCATGGCCTGCTGGATGTGTGGAGAAGGATGCATGCAGACTGCCGGCAGTACACGTGGTCCCACCTCAGAGAAGGTACAATCTCCTCAGCCAGGCTTGATCGGTTTTATGTGTTTAAGCACCATTTTAATATTTGTAAAATGTGTACCATTGCACCGGCGGTTTTCACACATCATTCCCTGCTGGTGTGTAATGTTTTTATTAGGAACATTTTGCCAAAAAAGCGCGTACTGACATTTTAACTCAGGTCCTAAAAAAAAGAAGACACGACCCGAGGGGAAACCTCTGGCGGATGACGTGGGACAGATGTTTCTGCACTCGCCGTGTGCACTGCTGTTGCAGCCATACACACTTCAACAACAACAACCGGCTGAACAAACAGCGATCGCTAAGCATCAGTCGGAGGTGTGAGCGCAGTGACGTTACCTTCCCTCAGCTTGCGCACCGCCGCTTTGTGGCCGGCTCCCCCTGCGTGGCTGGTCAGGGCAGCCTCGCCCATCGTCTGAAGTTTGATGGATTTAGAACAGGCCTTACATCGGGCGAAGTGAATGTCCTGGATTTCCTTAACCAGCCAGTCCTTGTAAATCCCCTTTGAGAGCCAGGAGTCCTGGAATTTGCATTTGCCGGGCATGCTTAGCTGAAGTTAGCCGGACCGCTACCTTGCGGCTAGTTAGGTGAAGCCTCCCGTGAGCCGTCTCCCGATGCGTTCACGGGCGGCACGGAAAAGCCACAAATATTTACATTATTGGGAAATTTAATTTAAATTACTCGTTGTATTGTTGTTATAAAGAACCAGATTCCGTATATATACACACACTTCTTCTATAAATTGCATTTTTATAACTTTCTAAAATAACAAAGTATCACAAAGTGCAGACCAAACACTGTTTGCTCTGTTGGTGTAGTGAAGTGAAATAGTTGAGTAACTTTGTGGAAATAGGCTTCAATGTAAGGTAAACAAAGGGACAAAGGAGGCTTGAACCAAAATGATATCAGTATTGTTTAAAACCGACCAACAATGCATTACACTCAACATAGTTTCCCAAAAAAAACACCTACAGAAAGCACAAGTTAACAGTGCTTGGTCACATGTGCAGCTTCCTCCAATACAAATACGGCTAACTTGTTTTCTAACCAATCAACCTCCAGGAAGCCAACAGTGCGCCCTGATTGGTTTAAACACGGCACGGAGCAGACAGGCAGACACACACATGGGTACTGTGATCGTGGATGCTAATACATCGGATTTAATGCAGATTTATGGCACGTTTATTTTTGGTTTGAGGCTTTTGATAATGTAATGTGTGCGAGCATCGGGGGGCCGAACAAAGGCACTTTGATGGATTCATACACGACTAATAAGACAAAGATAGCAAAACAAGCTAGCAGCACCGGCTAACTGGAAAGTTAATAGTGACTCAATATGGACTTAACATTGTAATATTTCAAATGCCGGTCAACCCCGTCTGTTTTGTTGTATTCATCAACCATCGTCTTTGTCGTGTTTTGTTCTCTATATACTTCAGACATCATTGATACTGTATCTCCAGTGAAAGTTATCAATAATGGAGACAGCAGCTCTGGTAGCTCCATTCACAGCTCTGGAGTTCCTTCAGGATGCTTTCCTGCTGACAGGTAAGAGGCATCGTTGAAAATACATCAATAATATTTCTAGTGATGCAAAAATATGGACCTGAAGAGCCAATTCAGATTTTTCTAATGATGCATTGTTGTTATGCATTTTTAAACTACTCTTACTACAAAAGCGTGGGTAGAACAACTTTATATGTTTTACTTATCACTTTTATTGTTGGTTGTTTGGGGACTGAACGCTGTAAAAAAAGGGTCACACGTGACAAATCTTCTCCCACCCCATCCCGCTAGGTGAGGGTCCAGTCTTGTCAGGGTTCAACCTCCATCCTCGCCCCAAAGCCTGTGCCTCACTGAGTGTGCTCAAACACCACAGAATCCACGGGATACGGCCTAGGAGACTGAAGGCAGTCACACCACAAAGATCCACCGCTACAGATGTGAAGGAGGGAGATGGTTAGCATAAGCAGATGTTTGTTTTCACTCTAATGTGGTGGGGGGGCTCTGCGTGATTGGTGAAATGTTAAGTGTTGATACAGAGTTTGCTCTCAATTGATTTGTTTATGATATATTTCACCCTCAAATCCAGACACATTTTCTTTGTTTCACAATCCCCAGAACTGAGCTCAACATCGAAGCCCAAGTTCCATGACCTGGCAGTGTTTGGTGGCAAGGCTGTGAGGCTTGTGAGATTCCATGTGGATCACCGGGATGGGAAGCAGCCGCACTTTGAGACTCTGGGCCCCCTCATGGAGCTACAGGACTGGGCCCTGGATGCCCATTGGCTCGCTGGAGACAAACGCTCGCTGCTCTGTGTTGCTGTTGCTCACAATAGAGCTCTTCTTCTGGACAGCATTACCGGAAATGTCCTGGCTCAGCGCTCCTGTCTGGAGGGTTGTCTGCTGTACTCTGCCCTCCTTCTGGTACACCAATCCTGGTCAGATGCCGTCCTAGTCGGTGGGACTGTTTTCAACCAACTGGTTCTCTGGAAGCCTGCAGGAGGTGAAACTGAACGTGTGGATCCCGAGCTCAAAGCTCCAGTTGAGAGACGTCTGCTGGGCCACAGTGGGGTCATCTTCAGCATCGCTTACCTGCAGGAGAAAGGATGGCTGGCGTCCGCCTCCGATGACCGCAGCGTGAGGGTTTGGGGTGTCGGTGCTTTAGGGGGCCCCGAGGGGAAATGTGGAGAGCTCAATCCGGCCTGTTTAAGAGTCCTATACGGACACCAGGCGAGGGTTTTCTCAGTGCGTCTGTCCCCAGGGAACGTGTTCAGTGCTGGTGAGGACGGGGCCTGTTTAGTCTGGGACTGGGCTGGAGGCGGGAAGGTGGTTTGCACGTTAAAAGGCCACCGGGCCGGGGGGGTTCGCGCACTCGCAGTGAGTGAGGGAACGGGAGACGGAGCGAGATGGGTGGCTACAGGGGGGGCGGACGGAGGGTTGAGGTTGTGGAGGGTGAAAGCGAGCGAGCAACGGAAGGAAAAATCGGAGGACACAGCAACAGAGAGGCTAACGGACCTGAAGTTTACCGGCCACGGCTCGCCTAAAGTGGTTTGTATGGTAGGGGAGGAGGAGGAATATGCAAGTTGGAGTCAGAGTAAGTTAGTCGTCTGCACTGATCAGGGAACAGTTTACCAATACAGCGCTGGGCAGTGGGAGATGGTCTGGAAAGGGACTCCTGAGTTTCAATCTTATTGTTTGATGGAAACAACAACCGTCAGTTTAAAGGACTCAACGGCAAAAATGTATTTGTGTGCTGTGGGGAACCTCAGTGGATCCATACAGGTCTTCTCCATCGCTTGTCCTCAGTGTGGGATTCTCCTCGCCGGCGGAACAGGGAAGATCCACAGTCTCATTTGGCAAGAGACCAAAGACGGCATTTATTTGCTCGCGTCAGGTTCCGAAGGACTCGTCTTTCGCTGGTTAGTGGAGGTGGAAATGGGTGAAAATTCTCCCTCGTCTCTGAGCGCGAATCGCCTCCCTTCTTTCCTCCTTCCTCGCGGCGCCAAACGCTGGCTGACAGCTGCGGTGCGCCTCCACTCCAACGCGCAGGGGGGGCTGTGGGTGTGTGGGGACAGGAGAGGGTCCCTGCTTTTGTTTCAGGACGGAGGAACACAAGAGCACGAGATGGTGGATGACCGAAGGATGGATGAGGAAAGTGGTCCGGGTGGGGACAGAAAAAGTGAAAGGGGAGAAGTGGCCGACTTGCTGCTGCTGCAGCCGTTGAGCTGCCTGTTCGGGGTGCATGGAAAACTGGGTGTAACTTCGGTGAGCGAGTACCAGGGACTGCTCTACAGCACTGGCAGGGACGGCTGCGTGAGGGTCTTCAGGGTGCTTCCAGCACCAGAAAAGGGGAATGGAAAGAGCGTGGAGAACAAAGGGGGGCTTCAGCTGGAGGTTCTCAGAGTCCAGCGGGCCTGCAAGGGTATGGAGTGGCTGGAGAGGGTTTTGATCCTCGAATCTGACATTTCAGCCGAGGAGGAGGAGGAGGATCTAGGGAAGGAGTTTGAGAACCACTACAAGACAAAGAATTTGTCAGGAAAGCTGGAGGTGACAGAGGCGAGAGAAGAGGAGGAGAGCTTTAAAAGGGAAGAAGAAAATCACGGGAGAGAAGCCAGGTTCGCCATCGTCGGCTTCCATGCCGTCCACTTTGTGGTTTGGGACCCCGTGAGGCAGGAGAGGTTGTTAGCTGTACCTTGTGGTGGGGGCCATCGCTCTTGGCGTCTCTGGCCGTCGCTCAAAGGGGTTTGGCCCGGATACGGAGCTCTGGTCTTCATCAAGCAGGGGGCCGTGGTGGCTTCGCAACCGCCTGGAGGGGCACGGATCGGTTCCGGGAAGGCAGGGAGGTGCGAAGGGTGGGGCCTGAGAGAGGGCGTCCACGGGAGGGGGATCGGCTGCGTGTGCCGGCTGGGGGCGATCGCGGGAATTGATGACGTGAAGGAGGCGGAGAGGGAAGAAGAGCGTTGGGAGATAGTGGCGACGGGTGGAGAGGACACCAGCTTGACCGTCCTGGCGCTGCGTCCCTCCTCCGGCCGCGTCGAAGTCCTCTCAGTCATCACGGACCACATTTCCAGCGTCCGGACGGTGACGGCGGTCACGCGCCCAGAGGGGGGGAGGGAGGGCCAGTCGCTCTCCGCCCTGCTCGTGTCGGCCGGCGGGCGAGCTCAGATGCAGTGTTACCGGCTGCTGGTCGGCTGGGACAGGCGGAGACTGGTTCCCTCCTGCCAGGTGATCCAGGTGGCCAGTCACCGATTGGACGAACAGTGGGAGAGGAGGCGGAACCGCCACAAGACGGTGAAAACGGACCCAGAAACCAGGCAGGTTGATGCTTGTTTCTCTGCACACATGTGAGGGGCACTTCAGCCATGAGGAGAATAACGTGTCCTCTTTTCTGCTCTTACCCGTTGCGTCTTGGTTTCCAGGTACATGTCTGTCGTGGCGGTGGATGAGAAGACAGACGGTTGTCTTCTGGCAGTGGCCTGCAGCGATGGAGCGGTCAGGTTTGTGTCTTCCACACAATATTTTGCCACCGCTTGCTTTTGTTTTGGCACGTAAAATAAACTATGCAAAGTCCAGTTTCCTATTTATGGCAAATTATTACCACCTTCTGTAATAACATTTGTTACGGCCGGCTATCATACACATCGGATCTCTTTGCACGCTCAATAACGCTTTCCAACAACCACCTGTCTCTAGCGATCCTGCTGATTATATTGACCATGCGGCCTAATTGACAGAGCGCCTACGCCCCCAAGTGGTGGGAGTTTAAACAAAACTGGAACAAAATGGCTCTTTAAAAATAGTTTATATTCTCTCAGGGGCAGAAGGAAAATGTTAGTTTAGAAAAATGATTTCAAACTGCTACCCTCCCCTCAGTGAGCGGTCGTAAATGAATACAAGAGAAAATGTGGGTTAAATGTGCTCAGAGACATTTACTTTGTTCCTTTAGTCGCTGAACTGCGAAACTGAAATACCGTTTGTCCTATAATGATGCCCTCAGTCCTTTTTCCTTGATTCTGGCCTCGACGACTGTCTTTTCCAGGTTGTTCTCGGTCAGTGAAGTCAAACATCAAATTGATTTGCTGTGGGAGACGTTTTACCACCAGCGCTGTGTCCTCAGCGTCGCCGCCTGCAGCCTGCAGGATGGAAAATGCAACAAGTGAGCCGATTTGTGCTGATGCTTTTTGTTTTGAATGACCTGAAAGTCAATGGTAGTCCTGCTTTGTAGAAATACTTTAGAACCAGGCCGTTGATTGTTTTGCAATACAATTCTAATATTTGAAATCACGCCATTTTTAAGCATGGAACTTTGGGACTTTGGCTTTTTGTTGAGTTTTGTGTTTGGGGTTTGTATCCGTCTCAGGTATCAGCTGCTGTTCAGCGCTGCAACAGATGGCAAAATTGCCGTGTGGGATTTGACCGACGCGTCTCTCTTATGGGCCGGTGCTTCCAGCCGCAGTCCGACTGCACCAAGCCCCTCCTTCAATGTTCACGCCCACCAGAGCGGCGTCAATTCATTGGCCGTCCGGGCGGACAAACTCGGGCATGAGCACGGTTGCCGGGTAACCGTCGCTAGCGGAGGGGATGACGGACAACTGACCGTTTCTATGATCGGAGTGCAGTACCCAAACGACGCTCCGCTGCCCGAGCCCCGGGTTTCTCTACAAGCCCAGATCCAATCCGGGAAGCAGCTCCATCTCCATCTGCACTCCCAGTGGCACGTCCCTCTGGCTCACGCTTCCCCTCTGACCGCCCTGAAGCTCCTGAGCCCAAACCTCGTGGTCTCCACCTCTTCGGATCAGAGGGTCTGCCTGTGGAGGGTCGGCAGTACCGACATCGGCCACGTCGGGGCGCTGTGCTGCCATGTTGCGGACGCTGCGGGACTCGCAGTGTGGGAGGGCAAGTTGACGGAGGAGGAGGAGGAAGATAAACGTAAGGAAAGGGGGCGTGAGTCTGAGCGGGAGACTGCGGTTTGTCGGCGGAGTCAGACGGGTCTAAGAGTGACGCATCAGACGGCGGCGCGGTTTGATAAGGACCAGAAAACAAAGAACGAGGTCGAAGACGGAGAACCCGCTGAAGCCGGGAGAGGGGCAGGTGACCCGGTTTGTCAAACCAGCAATGAGAGGGGAGGCGAGACTGCTGCTGAGCGTAGACGGCAAAGCGGGGCGGACAGCTTGGGTGAGACGGAGAGTGAGGTGAACACCGAGAGGGGTGTCAGGGCCTGCTGGGAGAGCCAGGAAGAGGGAGGAACGACGGGATGGGTGCTCGTCTGCGGACAGGGCCTCCAGCTGCTACGGGTCCCAAAGGCAGAGAGAGAAGTAGGAGGGACGCTCCAAGTTTAGCGTTGAGAGAAAAGTCTACATAATCACGAGAGCTGTCACCCAAGCAATGATTATTTTCAATGTACATAATTCTTTTAAATGATTTTATATCTTTAAAACTTGTTGAGACACAGCAATTGTTATCAAATAATTCCAATAATGTTTTAAATAAAATTGATTCTCATTATTTACAGGGTACATTGTGACTACAGAAGACATCTGCCACTTATGAGTTACTGAAGATTTAGTAAAAGTAAATAGAACGATATAAATACTTCTGTAACAGACCAAAGCTTCAAGAAAAATAAAACAGATTTTTAAACTGATTAAAGTTTGTCTTGAGTTCTCTGGCAACTAAATACAGTGTCTAAAGGATCCAGGATCCACTAAATCCGTGTCTGGATCCTCGTAGCAGCCGAAAGCCATCGGTGCTCATCTACTAAAACATCGTCATGGTTATTTTCAGACAATATTTAAACCGTCTGTGATGTGTTTAGGCCATCTGTGGCTTCCCCCAGGGGCCCTGAGCAAAGATGCCTGAAATGAATGGAGTTATTTTTAACAACAACATTTTAAATAGAGCATGTTACGCGTATCAACCAGCCAGTCAATAAAGCTGTTTACTTGAGGAGAGCTTTAGGACTCTTTATTTTATGTCAGATCAAGGCCAAACCAAAAGACTGCCTTTGCCAAATGTCTCCCAAATCAGGTAAAAAAGGAATTGGGAGATAAACGGTATCCGTTTTGTCCAGACCGCACTTCAAATAGTTCCCGGGAGTTTAGCCTCTCTGCTCTGTTTAGAGTATAAACTAAGTGTAGAGCACGATTAAGCTTAAGTGTGTAATACATCCGTCACTGTGTATGTGTGTAACCGAGCCCACTGTGCCTGTGTGCTGATATGCTAAGTTACCGCTATAAAGCAGAAATGTGTTATGACATGAATTGCTAATACTGCTTAGGTGGGAGGCTGCAATGGGAGTGTGCACCATTTTTTTTGTTGTGGGAATATTGTGCGTGTGTCAGAGTGTCTGGCCGATATGCAAATGTAGCTGTGCCAGATGACGCGTGAGAGGACTGACAGCATGTAACTCTGCATTTAATGTCATACAGAGTGTGTTGGTTCACAATCACCTGCCAAGAATTTAAATGTATAAAATTGTGTGTGTGAGACGTTTGCTAAATGAGACGTGCGTGTGTGTGTGTGTGTGTGTGTGTGTGTGTGTGTGTGTGTGTGTGGAGGGCCAGGTGGGGGTTAGGGCCCATGAAGGGGCCGACTGCAGGTATCCATGAATATTTTAATATTTTAGCCTCGTCTCGCGTTGCCTTTTGTCAAGTACGCATCTCCCCACCTGCCACTCACAACGGAGATGAAGAAGGGAGGAGGATGAGCGAGGGAAGAGGGGACGAAGGTGCCGCGCATTGTCTTTGTTCTGTTGGACAGAAACAAAAGAAGAAAGTGGGGGAGTGAAAGCAAGAGCCAAAGTGTGTAACCACCACTGTCACTTACAGGTGGCAGAAAAGGCCCAGAGAAAGCAGCAGAGGGTAAAACAAAGGGGGGAGGGGAGGGGGGCAGAAATGGAGAAGGCACCTGCTGCTGCAGCATTACTGCCTGTGTGTGCCGGGTCACGGAAGAGAAAGTAGGTGTGAGACAGCTGAGGAGACACGGGGAGAAGTAGTGATTGATGAGAGGGGGAGTGTAAGGTGAGACACAGGGAGGAACAACCATTGCAGGCACCGGCAAGAGGCGTGTGCCTGCAATGCATTTCAAACCCGGGACTGAGTTTTTGTTTTATTTTAGTCACCTTCAGCCCTCGAGCAACATGAGCAAGGAGATAAAGTGGGTTATGGAGGCCGGCTTGAGAAGAAGTCATCAGCGTCCGTGCAGATAAAAGGCCCGGGCGGGAAATTGTACCTGCGTTCTTTTCGAGGACCCTCGCGTGAGAGAGTCTGTCAAAGTGCAGAAGGGACGACGGTTTACAACCATCAGAGAGGTACACGCACACACACACACACACACACACACACACACACTCTTTCCATCACCACTCCCGACGACGCGGCATTTGCTGTATTTACTTATTGCCTTTTGACTCGTGAATACTCTGCATTCTCTTCTTCTAATCTTGCTCTATTTTCCAGCACATTTGGTGCCAGGCCAGAGCACTTACCTTTCTTTATGCCTCATTTCAAACTGTCACTCACAGGAGCGCTACATGTTGCATTTGACACCCAAATGACCGACCGTGGACAAGATTTTTGAGACAAATTGCTTTAACATTATCTTTCAGGGTGCTTTAACCTGTGCACATATTCACACGCAGCTTACAGCTTGTTACACATCCAACCTCATTGTTACCTCAGCCACAGCGCCGTGGTGTCAGGCCTGCATCTTTGTTATCGGGTGTCTCTTTTTAGAGTTACGGATGCAATATTTGGCGAACAATTCAAGAATGGAGTGAATAGAGTGAGGTGTTTTAAAAAAATGTTTTCTTAAAATTTGGAATTAAGTTTAAAAGCTGCACATCTTACAGACGTGATGCGTCTATAGGCAAATATATCTAAAAGCTTTGAATGTAGGGTGACTTTTTCCGAGGGATGACGTATTTTTAGGCATTAGCAATCACACCGGAACAAAAAGCCAATTTTATTGATTCCAGTGAAATTTGGACTAGTTCTGAAACTAAGCTGTATGGTGTTTACCGGCATTAGCGGCATGCTTACACTTTCACTTGAAATAAATGCATGTTTGCGTTGCAGTGTGTATGACGTGTTCCTATGATGCCGGTTTCTGCTCAGGCTCCCGGATCGGTGATGTCACGTGACCGGCTGCCTCTCATCGACTCCTCTGGAAGTAAAACAACAGGTGATCCAACTCTCCATGAAGGTTATCCACCCCTTTCACTTTATTAGAACGGAAGTGGGCTGTTTTTCTCTGGTGTCATTATTTGATCCTCAAATAGCTTGAACTCTGTGTGATGCAAACCCACATGGAGTTAAGACAATAGCATCTCTCTTGTTCTTTGTGTGTTCGTACCTGTGGTCTCTCACCACTACAGTCGGATAGCTAAAGTTATTAGTTATAAGACGGCAGTGAGATGTTCCGATTACATCCTAATCAATGAAGCAGCTTATCAAGCAGCTCAAACCACACCACTTTAGTCTGCGTTTTTTCACAGTCTCCCTCTTCTCGCAGGGGCCAAGCCGTCGCTCGCCCCGCCTGCCCTCCAGCGCCGCCATCAGGTCAATCAACGAAAACGCAGCCAGCAGCGGACGTCGTCGTCCGCCGCCCCTCAGCCTCGCCCGGGTCCTCCTTCCATCCTCGTCTCAGACACCACCATGACACCGTGGGCCGGCTTGGCTCTCTCCGAATCCTCTTTCGCTTCAATACCCCTGCCTCCGCCTCCGCGAGCTCCTCCACTACCACCTCCACCCCCTCCTGCTCCTCAGCCCACGCCTTCCGCTTCGTATCATGGGAGGCAGGAGGACGATGAGGAAGTTTCAAGTTCAAGTTTTAACTCCGAGGCTCCATCTCCACCCGGTGCGGCCCCTCGGGACAGTGAGGGTATGTTAGAAGGTGTTAGAAGGTGTTCAGGTACACATCCCAACTATCAAAACAATCTATTGGATCTGAAATAAGGCTAAAGCTGTCAAGCCAACGTTAAGGTGTCCATTATTCCTAACTAACAAGATTCAAGTCTACGTGGAAATGTCTTTATGGGCCTCATGGTGTCATGTAAATTTTGCACCGTTTGCCCACTCGGTGAAACTTTCTTCCAGGGCGCTTGATCATGACTTGCTCCGGCGTCACGCGCACGTGGTTAATGCAGGTGATTGGAAAAGCCTGACAGTCCCCCTGATCGAATTGGTTTTTACAGCAAACACGGATTTCTGCAAAGTGTTTGACCATTAGTTGTGTGTTGTTCTATAAAAGGCCGCCACAAAGATCAAATACAAAACACACACATGCACGTAGTCAGCCACATAAAAACATTAGGCCTGTTGATGATTACGGGACCGCCTTCGTAGCTTTGCGATCAATTCACTTTCTCCTCTTCTCCGCTTCCGTCCCTGTCTGTCTCTGCAGGCGCAGGAGTGGGGAGAGGTTTGCGGGCGAGGCGTAGGCCGATGCCCCAGCGGCGAGTGCCTCGTCCCCCCCGTCTCCCGCCACTGCGTCCCGTCACCAACCTGAGCTTCTCCCGCAGCTTCACCTTTTCCTTCTTCGAGCTGCCACAGCACCAGGCGCCTCGCTGCCGCGCCGAACGCGCCAGAAACCTCCTGCTGCTTTTGAGACAGACGCACTTCTAACGAGTCTGTTCTATTAACGCTGCGTTTCAAACATCAGTGTACCACTGTTCGATCGCATTGTCGAGGAATCGTTGTCTCGGCGTTTGTGACTCACATTATGGTCCCACTGAATAAAGTTTTTTTTTTTGGTATCTAATGACCAGAGCAAACAATGCAATGTCTGTTCTATTCTCATTCAAGGTACAAGGTCCACCTACTGTGAACACAACAAGGTTGCGCAACCTAATAAAATACACATAAAATGCCACTGCTACATCTCTGGACCTGAGGACGGATTGTTTGGCCCAGCTGTGCGTGTTTGGCCTCTAAACTGTGTTTTGCTGTCCTTTGGCTGTTATCTGTTCCAATGTTGCTGACAGCTGGAGAGAGAAGAGACACACGCTTTGCAGGGAGGACTGATGACTGGAGCCGCTCGATTACCCGCGGATTCACGTGATCACGGAACCTGTGACACTGCCTCCGGCTCCTGATGCCGCACACGTTCCCCTGTTTACTCTGTCGGCCCGTAGCTTCCACTTTGTTGCCTCTTCAATGAGCCCCCAGACCCGTCTAATGAGACTGAATCCCCCACAAACCCAAACTCTCACACACAAGTCAGGAGCTACATCTTGTTATTTTGTCATACCTTGTTTCAGGGACATTTGGACGGCTGGTTTAAGAGACTTTTGAAATAATAACTCTTAAATAATTGTGGGATTATGTCAGCATGAGTGATGAAATTCTTTGCTTCTTGAAAAGTTTTTTCTTTTGAAATGTAAATGAACTTGGAATCATCAGTGATTTTGAGATAAAAAATAATTTTGTCAAAAATTAGATTGATTACCTTTTGTGCTGCAAACAGCATTTAACTCGGTTATTATCTTACTTTTGAGTTTTCATCTTGATACTTTCCTTAAATTCACATAAATATCTAATGAACGTCAAGATAACATTTATCTATGTAAAATACCATATGTACCATATAAAGTACCATATGTAATCAACAACGTTACCATACATTCAATGTTTGATTTGTCGTGTCAAAGTGTGTAATGACACTTTTACAACTTTTGTAAACTTGTAAGTCTGAAACTGTGCGCAGATTTTAGACTTTTCTCTCTTGAATTTTCAGTCAATAAAGTTTCTGTTTAAGGTTTTATTTGTGAATGACCTGAATCTTTACTTTACAGTAACACTTTAATTTAACAGTTTGTTGTTCCAATTGCTTATTGTGGTGACATTAAAAGAAAATTATACATTTTTAAAAATAAATTTAACACATTTTCACCATTGGAATAGCTTTAAAAAATGTCTCTTTCTGTTTCTCTCGCTCTTTCTCACACACACGCACACACACACACACGCGCACACACACACACACACACACACACACGCTCTGATAATAGAGGCATTCAGACGTACTGAATGGGGGGTGAAGAGGAGGAGAAAGGGGCTGTAACTCGCTGTAATGTGCAGAGTTCAAGGCTGTTCTCAACCTTCCTCGACTCACGTGTGGTAGTTTGTTGAGCTGTGTGATTGTGTGCGTGTTGCGCGTCAGACACGCACACTGTTGCACATGTCAACTGTGTACTTGTACTTTCGCAGCCTTTCGCTCAGCCGCTCTCTCTCTCTCTCTCTCTCTCTCGGCCGCGGCTTGTTTTGTGACTACATAGTTGCTGCTGCGCCGTGGTCTTTGTCATGTAACTTCATCCACACGGTTTACACACAAAAAGAAAAGTGCATGAGACACATTTGACACACACGCGCGCACACAGTATTGGGACGATAACAAAGGGAGACTTGACTGTGCTGCCAGTAATCTTTGACGTTGATTACAGATGGACAGCGTTGACCAAAATGCCTTTCCTCACAACAGGCCACCTCACCAGGCTGTCGCCCTGGACGAAGCACAGCTGGACGTCCTCGGGCAACGGGCACAGCAGCAGTCCCCGTCCTTTTTGGAGAGGGTGAAGGCACAATGTTGGTAAGTCGAAGGATGGGTTAAGTTGTTGGCCCCCCGGCCCGTTTTAAGCGGCCAAGACCCTTGAACTGAAGCTGTGTGTGACTACGTGTGCGTCCGTGCTCCTCCAGTTGTTCCGGCCCCCGGTTGAAGAGCTCGCTGCTCGGTTTATTTCCTGTGCTGTCATGGCTGCCTCGCTACTCCATCAGGGAGAACGCCGTCGGGGACCTGGTGTCTGGAATCAGTGTTGGGATCATACAGCTGCCACAAGGTGAAGGGGAATAATCACATTAAGGACATTAACAGGTTTTCAACGGCTGCCACAACAAATGCAACTGTAGCTGCAGGTTAAAAGGACGCAAGCTGAAAACACAGTCATACATGAAGGCGTTTCTCTGGATAAGTAGACGCACAGGAGGAAGCAATTCCTGCCTTTTTATTTTGTTAGTGTCCGTTTGGTGGGACGTTCATTTTCAAGAGTGCAGAGAACACGTTTTTGAATATACAGGAACTTTCTTTGTGTTGAGCAACTCGCTGTAGCTGCTCATTCAAGCCACACTTTTCACCTCCTGTTCTTCCTCCCCAGGTATGGCCAACGCCATGTTGGTGGGAGTTCCTCCAGTCTTTGGTCTCTACAGCTCTCTCTATCCTCTGATCATCTACTTCATCTTCGGCACCTCCAGACACCTCTCCATTGGTGACTCTCAACCCATCATTTTGTGAAGAGGGCGTCTAGAAAAATGTCTCGTGCCCCAAATACATTCAACAAACTTAATAGCTCAACTTTTTATTCTTTTATTATTGCTGTTTAAACAAAATGTAATAACAACTAGCAAGGTCATTGTTAAACACGTGTGCGTATCTGTTTATGTGTAACAGGTACTTTTGCCATCCTGGCCATCATGATTGGCTCTGTGACCGCTAAAGTGGAGTTGCTCCACATTGGTGATGAACAGGTTGACGTGGAAGCAGCCAAAGTGAACGTGGCGGTACAGCTCACTTTCCTCTGTGGCCTCATACAGGTATACAGTACACACACACACACACACACACACATGCACACAATACACAATACATGAACAAACAGATTGTTCACCTCTGACCTCTGGCCTCATTATGAAGACAAGCCGGAAAATGTCAGACCTCCGGTTGAGTATCACGTTTGTTTTTATCATTTCATCTACAGTTGTAGTTACACAACCTGTCGAGTTTCTGAGACACTCCCTTGTCGTCATTACAGGTGAAATTTGACCCACAGATTTAATTTTATTTCTTTTTTTTAAACGTTCTTGCTGATTCCCTTTTATATTTGGTATATTTTCCCTGCGCCCACACTGGGTCCCCAAACTGCACTGGATTGAAATCATCTCTGTAGAGGAGGGCAAAGATTTTCTCCTACTACTCGTGCTTAGAAATGATCAATACGTTTTCTGTTGCCAAAGTGTAGTTTGAAAGCAAAACATTCTCAGTGATGGAAACCATCAAATCATCATGTCATATTAGTCTCTCGGAATCAAAGAGCAGCATTCTGTGTGTTTGTGTACGTGTGTGTGTGTGTGTGTGTGTGTGTGTGTGTGTCCACTCAGCTCCTAATGTACCTGCTGCGTGGAGGAGGTGTGGGTCGCTGGCTGTCGGATCCTGTAATCAGAGGCTACACCACAGCAGCAGGTCTGCACGTGATGATCCTGCAGCTGCCACTTATGACTGGGATACCTGCGCAGAGACACACGGGACTGCTGCCTTCAGTTTGGGTCAGTTGAGACACAGCCAGCCTCAACACGAGCTCCTCTAGTGCTGTTATGTGGCCGATTGTGATCTCCGAATCAGTGTATATACAGAATAAATTTGGATGGATAAAGGAGGGAGCATGAACTCATGTTAGCCACAGAAGATTTGGGGTTTTGAGCAGGAGAGTCAAAGAGCTCTAAGCACACAGCGGGCCTGAAGCAGACTGTAATGATGACTTGTGGTTGTTGTTGTTGTCGTTGGACTGGAACTCGTGTCCCATCTCCTGGACCAGCCTGATCTCCAAAACCTGTTCGTAAAAATGTATACGAAAATCTTGAACATACAAATTCGTAGTGATACATACTAAATAAATACGGACTACAACTGATGACGTCACCCTATTCAAAGTGAACGGGGACCTGCGCCCCGTAAACACACTTTGTGAAGTCTAACGATGTAAAATAAACGTGTTATGATTGCATTTTTAACGAGAAATCAATGTTAACTTGTAAGAATAGAATACTAACCCTAACCCCCTCAAAAAATCCAACATGGCGGAGAGACATTCACTCAAGAATCCGACATGGTCCGCCATGTTGTTCACTCAAGGGGCGTGGTTAACCACCGCCAGTTCCTATGCATTGTTACGAATTTGTATGTTCAAGATTTTCGTATACATTTTTACGAACAGGTTTTGGAGATCACGTTGGCTGGACCGGTGCTGGCAGACCCTAACCAGGTCTCCTCACCTTTTGGCTACTGCGAGGCCCACCAAGGCCTAATTAAATTAATTTAATTAGTTATCGGGGCACAGATCTGTCTTTTCAACTTAAACGTTGGGATAAAACTCTTCCTTGAAGGCACCTTGTCACGTCTGCACAAGCAGTGTTTCTAGAGTGGTTTTGTTTGGCTTATCGGCTAAATCCGATTTTCTTCCAGTTTCTCTGGTCTTTATCTTCCAGTATGCGCTGGAGCAGTTAATAATCACCCTATCTGCGCTAGAAAGAATGCTCTGTTGTGTTTGTGGTTTTTAAAGGTTTTAGTTTTTAAACAAAACGTTTGAATGTGTCTTGGTTTGTCATCCTCCAGACGTTAAATGATGTCTTGCACGGAGTGACCAGTGCTGTACCGGGAGCGTTGTCGGTCTCCAGTGTTTCCATGGTGATACTCATCGGAGGCAAGATACTGAATGAGCGCTTTAAGAACAAGCTGCCTGTTGCCGTACCATGGGAACTTATACTGGTGAGGCTGCTTCCACACACATGCATACAAACACACAGGCTCAGCAGACCTATGCCTTATGTTTTTTTATTTGTTTTTATTTTGGGACGACCACTTAGAATACAAACTGTAACTCAAGGCAAATGCAGGTTAATTTCATCTCTTTTTTTACAGATTTGTTCAAAATTGGCTGTCATAGTGCAGCTTCTCTATTGGTAAACACAAACATTGAAGGCTTCACAACAGTATACGTTGCGTTGTGTCCTTCTTGTCCGTTGTGGTGAAAAGAGATGAATGCTCGTGTGGAACCTCTTACCGAACTGAATACCCCGAAGATATGGAAGCCTTGGAAAATCAATAAATATTATAAACTGTAGGAAACTGCCCCCATGCAGTGAAATGCAGTGAAACCACTGCTGTGTGAAAGGTCTTCTGAATGGTTCCCCTGTTTTGGATGATGAACGTCCTGAGGCAATAGTGAACCAGAACTTTTGTTCACTTTGAGATCTTTCTAAAGAGGCAGTACGCACGACTGAAATATGAGCAAAGCTGTAAGGGCAGGCCTCACTTATGAAGAGAAAGTCCATCAAATAAAGAATGTGGATCTGGACGAGGAGAAGTTGCCCAATGAGAGGGCCCCATCTCAAGTACTGCACCACAACTGGGATAAAAACTGCTTTCTACAATAGTGTAAAAACAGCATCTGTTTACAACAATGTGCACGTGTGTATGCGCATTGATTACAAAATATGCACTCATCATGATTTGACATTTAAATGTGGAATATTAAATGTTGTTGTCTTCCAAACTGGACGTTCTGTTCATAAAATGTCATGTTCATTGTTTTTCTCCCACAGATTGTCCTGGGCACCATCCTGTCAGTGCAGATGGATCTGGTTGGACAGCACAAAGTCCAGGTGGTGGGACACATACCCAGTGGGTCAGTAGAACTGTGTCATTGTCGGTTTTCCCTTGTCGTTCAGTCTTTTATATGTATTTAAAAAAAAAAATGTGATCCCGGTAGACATAGCACATAGCACAACATAGCACTGCTTTCAAAAGGAATAATTCATTCAATGTCTCCAACGAATCATTGATAATTAACAAGATACAGAACAGATTCAGCATGTTTTATTTACTACCACTTGCATATTCTGTCTTCAACAAACGAACGTATTTCTCGGTTAGTTAATATCCTTCTTTCTGAAACTTTGACCTCCCATTTTTCACAGTTCTGTTCTCATCACACATTATACGCCAGTTAGCTTTATTGCGTTAACCTTGATAGCTTTGAGAGAAATGAAGGGAATTCATGGGGTGAGTCATTTTTAACTGGTAGTTATTTATATTATATTCTTTTTAAATGATCAGTTATTCCCTCCTCCTGCTCCTCTTCCTACTCTCACCCAGCCTGTCTCCCCCAGTCCTTCCCTCCCTCTCTCAGGCCACACAGCTGTTCGTTCCCGCTCTGTCAGTGGCTCTGGTCGGCTTCAGCTTCCTCTCGGCGTTGGGCTCGGTGTTTGCCAACAAACATGGCTACCACGTGGACAGCAGTCAGGTACGTTCATGGCGGTTTTAGCGCTCACGCATTCCAGCCAGGAACCACAGAGCGATTGAGCTTTCGTCATTGCGTCCGCATGCTGCATGTTATGCGCTCATGCATTATCGTAGAGATCCCTGTAATGTAAGGAGAAGGAGAGAGAGACTGAGCTGATCTCTTTAAAGTTGTGCAAATATTAAGTCTGAATCTGTTTTTGTGCTATTCCTATATTCACCAGAAATAGAGAGCACCAGACTCACTTTCATATTCAATCCTAAAAGTTAAAAATACTTACCTAACTATGGAATAACTATTTTTTTCCCCTGGAGTGTATTTTCAAAACATTCTAATTATTATTAGATATAATTAGATAAATATCAAAATTACAAATTACAAAATGCTTTGAGCCTTGAAATGTAAATGACCACATAGTCAATGGAATATCATTAAATCAAAAAAAAGTTCCCCAGTTATCAACTGGGGAGGTTATCTATTGCTCACCATGGAAAACCTCTGTGCATGTATATATTATTTGAGGCCCACCACTTCCCCCTGACTGCGCTCCAGTTGTATCCCTGAGCGGGGGCGGCCGCCTAGGGGGGTATTTTTCAAATGGCTGCTGTCTGTCTCGGCCCTCAGGACCTGCTGGCTCTGGGTCTGTGTAACACCATAGGAGGAATGTTCCAGTGCTTCGCTGTCAGCTGCTCCTTCTCTCGCAGTATGGTCCAGGACAGCACTGGTGTCAAATCACAGGTACGCAATCGATTCCAAATGACATAAATAAAAACACAGTGTCAAAGAATGTATAAGGAAACAACATTCGATTATCTTTTTATATTGTGCATCATTTAACTGAAGTGGTCTTCTGTCCTCCTCTTGTGTTGTAATCTTTTGTGTCAGGTGGCCGGATTGCTATCCGCTCTGATGATGCTCACCATCCTGCTAAAGATCGGTCATCTCTTTGAACAGCTGCCAAAGGTAACGTGCATGCGAGGTAACAAACGTTATTCATGTTCATCGGGTATGTTACTCCGCTGGTGTACCAGAAGTTCGTACTGACAGTTTACCGGCCAGCTTGCCCTAAACCCCCACATAATGCTCATGGAATAATGGCGAATATCAGTGAAGATGTTTTACAAAATGTCACGTCATACTCCATCTGGCTCACTGATTCACTCGTCTTAGTCCAGTAATGCCTCGCTGTGTGTTCCAGGCGGTGTTGGCAGTGATCATAGTGGTGAACCTGCAAGGGTTGATGGCTCAGTTCAAAGATCTGTGTCTGCTCTGGAAGTGTGACAGATTAGACCTGGTAGGCTACACAGACACACACACACACACACACACACACACACACACACACACACACACACACACACACACACACACAGCTCTGATGCTCGTCCTCCCTCCTCCTTCAGCTGGTGTGGGTAGCCTCGCTGATCTCCACGCTGGTCTTTAACCTGGACCTGGGTCTGGCCGTGGCCGTCATCTTCTCTCTACTCACACTCATCTACAGGACACAACAGTCAGTGAACGTCATTTTAAAGGCTAATGGGACAATTTACATCAATGTAGCATTGCTGTTTAATCCTGATCATACTGTAGATTTCCAACAGATTATCAGGTAGCATAGGAGGTGTTTTTTTGTCACAAGCCGTGACAGCGATGCAGGTATCGTCTCATCAGGTGTCTGTGGTTGAGTCGTCATGGCAGAATGTGGTGCTGGAGACACCCGATGTGGCGAGAAGTGGCTGAAGGCAGTTTTACCAAGTGTATTTTAGTTTGTCTTTCTGTCTGCGGGCGGATTTTGTCCCAAACGAAAAAGCTGCAGTCACTAAACATTGCAGGTGTGCAGTTGAGATCCAAGTGAAGGCCGAGTTTGAAGATGTGTGAAGATTGATGCTTTGTATTAAGCGGGTAGAAAGTTGGGAATAAAATAGTATAGACTGTATATATATATATTTTAGGTATTAATCTAAAAAGTGTCCCCCCCTCCTTACTTGTCTCCAGCAGGCAGATGTGTACTCTCATTTACATTCCTCTGTCCATCTTGTCCTCATCTTCCAGCTCCTCCACTGTTGTTTTGGGTCGTATTCCTGGTACCGACTGTTACAGAGATGTGGTACTCTACACAAAGGTACGCTTCATCTCTCACACAGAAAAATAAGCTTTAAGAAAAAAGAAAAAAAGATGTTGTTATGGTTTGGTGTTGTGCTCTGCATTGCCAGCATGTTGCTCTCGGCCTCACTCACTGTTCAGGGTCATCGTTGAGGTTTAGAGCTTTTGAAATACTTTTGAAAAGGTTCATAAGATGCCATTTAGAAGATGACATTAATCATCTTGCAGCAGCTGTTTGCATCCATGAGACCAACAACAAATCAACTACAAGCAGCGACTCACATCAAAAATCTCAACTCTCCTCTGACTTTCCCAGTTTCACCCAAAACAGTTTATTTTTATTTTTTTCCTCCATCTGCCATAACACATTTTTAGTTAAAAAATATGCCCTAGGGCACTGCGGTAGAGGTAGCTGGAGCTGAATTATGCGCTTTCAGTATTCCAGGGCCTGACTCATGGGGCTTTCCGGATGCGATGATGAATGACTGTAACATGACCCACAATGATCTCTGATGGTTGCCGGGTGTGGACTAGCATATCTGAAATGCCATTACATTGCCAACAAGGTCAGTAATGAATTCTGCACAGTCTGGCTTGTATCTGCACATGAAACACGCCCCACATTTCAAATGAATCATCATCATCTGCAACACAAATGCACGCCGCCGCAAGCATTTGATGTCTACTATTTGTGCAGGATGTATCTTTATGGCGATGTTAACAAATGACAGATTCTTACTTAATGGAATGAAAGACAGGTGAACAAATCAATTTATCCTAAAGTTAATATAAAAAATAGGTTTGGAAATGAATTGAGGAGATATCTTTGATAGCAGGTCATTAAACTGTGGTTCTAGAAACAAATAACACACCAAATTCTTTAGTGAAGGTCAGTCTTTTAATCATCTCAACAAACCAACGTGGGCGGTACAACTGTCCCCGAGCCAAAACGCACAACAAATACATCCCTGGATGAAAACCACCATCTGTCACACATCAAGCACCAGACCGTCACCGAAGGCAATCTGTTTGTGCTCCGGCCGGCGGTGAATTGCTCTCAACTCCTCGCTCTCTGTAGCCTCCGCTTTATTCTCTGCTCACTGGGTTTCACTGCTGGCTGCTGCAGCACGTCCCTCTGTGGTTCGTGGCAAGTGCCTGTCGTGCACCAGGGACGGTGCATGCAGCGGCTTTTCCTTACGGTAAAACAGAATAAACTGCCGTAACTCTGAACCAGATATACTGGTTTATTGTTTGGTCCACAGACTTGTTTTTGTTGTACCAATCGACCTTCCGTAAAAGCACCAGACTGCTGTTGTAAGTCCTGACCTTCTATCCAACGTGTGACTACTGAGGCAAGTTATAAAACTCAGCTTCTGCACATTGTGTCTCTGTTGCTTTCTAACAGGCAAAGCCAGTTGCTGGGGTGACGATACTCTCCTATTCAAGTCCGATTTACTTTGCCAACTCTGAACTGGTCTTCACACAGATCAGACAGGTACCAACACACAAACAGACACACAGGATGGAATAAAAACAAGGCAGAGAAAGAACCGAGCATTGGCATCAGTGAAACAAGAGCCAGTTTTGAGTGACCAAGTTCAAGAATGACGTGTGGTGGTTTATTATGTGTAATTATGTAATTAGCAGAATGAATGAACCCAGATGAGCATCAGTCCAACAGTTCATCTTTCCCATGTGTAGGGTGCGTTCATCCAACACGACAATGAAGCACTGTGTTTCTGATTACCTTTTCCTCACCACACCCAGACGGTGAGTCGTGATCAGAAGAAAAACCCAGCTGGAGTACACACCTCCTCTTCTTCCTCCTCCTCCTCCTCCTCTTCCTCTTCAGGACACACGTGGAGACACACGCATAGCCTGGTTCTAGATCTCAGCTCAGTCACCTTCATGGACTCAGTGGCCATGCTGGCACTTTGCAAGGTGATAAAAGAGACTTGGAGTGAATGTTTGAACCCGTATGCGGTTTTAGGTACACACGTGTGTCTATGCGCTTAACCCATTGCCTGTCAATCAAACAGCATGTGTACTAGGGCCTCTTTGCCTGGAATCTTGACTTCTTGATTTCTGCAGACATTGCCCTTTTCATTGTCTGTCACTTCTCGAGCTGGCCAACAAGTTTGCTTTCTCCTTCTGGTAATTTAGCACATATAATCTATTCTGCAAGAAATTACCTTTTCTACAAGCGAGAAAGAGGAAAAGTGATAAATATTTCTTTAATACTTTATCTCTATTTTTTATTTTCCACGTGGATACAGGCTTCCATAAAGTACCACGTGTTTAGGGCAACAAGTACAAATGGCAATGTATTATATTTAACACTACGAAAAAGCAAAGCAGGTGTTACTTATGTTTTATGTGGTTGTTTATAGCTTTTTATGATTTATTGGTGCTATAAGTAAATAGCATGTGGTGCCTGTGTGTGTTCTTCACTAGGTTGCAGAGGACTTGGATGTCCAAGGTGTCGGTGTTTTTCTGGCAGCGTGCCCAGGTCAGGTCTATGTTTTATAGAGTGACTCATATGTCTCACACTCATATGTGTGTTCACTCAAACACACACACACACACACACACACACACACACGCAATGCTGTTGTCCTTTTCCCACCACAACCGTAGCCTTGTCTAAGTTTTGACAGTAACATTTTATTTTTGATGTCAAACCAAACACATGTGATCTGACTACGCAGTCTGCATTGCGCATGAAATAAATGCTTGAAATTGTCATTTTGATTCACCAGAGAGAATCTTATCTCAGCTGCAGACTCAGGGTTGTAAAGCAGACAGCCTGTCCACCCTGTGTCTCTCCCCATCGGTCCATCATGCTGTCCAGCGCTGCCTGAGCACCCTGCCAAGGCCTCTGGAGGTACACGCTGTCTCGCTTCCGAGTTCATCCGCAGACATAATGAGCAAAAGTATTTCAACCCAATGTTTGCAGAGTTTCAAACGAGTCAAGGTCACTTTGCAGCCGACGCTTGAGCCTTAAGTTAGAAAAAGAAAAAGAGGTTATTGTGGCTGACGGCACAAGGTTTTGTGAAGGAAGAAGGATCCGTTGTTCTGCTGCAATGATTTGGATCTTTCTTTTGAACTGTCAAAGGTGTGCCATGTAAAATCAGTGGCGGACTCCCTTATTGTTCTTACAGGACATCTCACTGAATACATTTGTGTAAAATATGGCACTTCAAGAAAAACATTTTCTTTGTTTATATCTCTTCTCAGGAAATCATACCAGATGCAACTGAATGTTGAACCTGCATGGCCGCTGCTTTTACAGAAGAGTTACGTCACATCAATGTATCAGAGGGTGATGGTAAACCTCTAAGATGGCAGAACAGGACAATCACTGTTCATTTTGTTTTGAAAGTAAGACATTAAAACCTTTCCATCGTGTATAGGCATTCACTTTTAACACATTCCTAGACAATAAATGTATATGTTTTAGGATTTGCATCATTTTTGGTAAAGTATTTTTGACTCGATTAGATGCTTAATTCAAATTCAAACTGTTTTGATCCATCAATCTCTGGGTCAGAGGTCCAACCTGCTTTGAAAGGACTCTTGCCGTAGCAGGCTAACAACATATGTATAGGATGAAATTGATTGTTGTGCCATTCTATTTAGTATTCTATTTGATATACCAAGGCCCCAAACGATAAATCGAAAAAAGCGTTTAAAACAGGTATGAATTCATTGGCCCCTAAAGTGGTACATTGAATCTGTGCAAACTGTTAATATTTTGCTCAGCCAACATAACATAGTTACACATTTACAAAAAGTAAATCTACATACCACAGACGGGAGTTGACTGTTTTCATAACTGAGTCACGTCTCTGTTTTTCCCGTTGACTACTGAACTGTGTTATTTGGATTAAGTGACAATGACTTGGTTGTGGGTGACAGAGACGGACATTGAAATAACTCAATAACACAACCGATCCCCTCACAAAAATATAATCACAAAACATGAAAAACCCGTACTGGCAAAAGGAGAGGAGCAAAAGGGTTAGAAGTATTGGATGTTTCGTTTCTGTGAAAAAACAAAAGGCACACATCCATTATCGTGTGGGATCGGATCCAAACAGCAGGTATTGGATGTGTGAACAATAACAGCAGGTTCCCACCTGTGTTGCTCCTGGAGACACGCCAACTGTGATGCCAGCGAAACCAAGACGTGAAGTTACTCTTCAACGGCGACGGCAGAAAATGATTACAAGCAGTTGTGATTCGCTCATTGAGCGACAGGAAAGCCCCTCAGTCTCCACCTATTTCTGCCCACTCGCGCTCTGTGGGTTGTAGTCCGCCGCGCTGGTTTTACGCGTGCAGACCGAGTCAATAGTTAATGAAAACATCCAATTAAACCAAAAACTAGCCTTTCTTTTCCATTGCAGGAAAACGTAAATCCACTTTAATGTGGGATTTAGAGAAAAAAAATCACTCAAATGCAAAGAAAAAAAAAAGCTAGCAGAGGATGGTTTCGATCCATCGACCTCTGGGTTATGGGCCCAGCACGCTTCCGCTGCGCCACTCTGCTGGCGACGAAAGGTCTCACTATTGGTTATGAATAAGTAAACAATGCAGATAGCTGGTCTAGCAGATAGCTTGATATTACGTTTCAATAGAGTTTAATCTAATGTTGTAAAGGACGAGCTGTTAACATGTAACAGTTGAGTTAATATTATCTGTTGATATAACGTTATTACTAAAGAGACATTAAGACGTTTGTGTGCGTGTGAGTGTGTGTGCGCGTGTGCGTGTGTTTGAGTTGTGGTTGCTAAGAAAACATAAGATAAAAAAGCGAGACAATATTAAGAACTATGTGATATAGCGTTAGGTTGTTGTTAACGGTCATGTATATCTATATGTACGTACATTACTGTAGAGAAATGAACCGGGAAGAAACTAAATGATAATTGTTTAGCACGCTATTTGTTTTGGGAGCTTCCTTGATGACTCATTGTGTCTCAAACTTTGATATCAGATAGGGCGCAGTACGGAATCAAAGGAAACTTAACTAAAGAGGATTACATTTCATATGACATAAACCATGACTTGTGGTCACAGAAGGTAACTCTGTGGTCCCAAACAGATGGGAACCTGTGGCCAAGTTTGATCAGGATCACAATACCGGCCCACATAAAGGCCCATCTTCCCCTCACTGTGGAACAAGACCCAGAGGCACTTGAACTCCTTCCCTTGTGCTAAATTTTAAATAAATAAAACTGACATTTTAAAGACACCCAAGATTGACTAAGACATTTAAAGGAGCATTTAAAGCAAATAAGCCTAAGAATCATCTAAAGTGTAACCAAGCTGTGACATCATGATGAAGATGCCTGCTGATGGAACTAAATTGCCTTTACAAAAGAAAATTGTTTGTCACGCTTACTTAACCGGTAACTGTTGGTCCAATGATTAATCAAGCCCTCCCACTCTACGGGTGTGTAGTCATGATTTAACAAGAACAACCCTGACTGAGCGGAAATGGCTGACTAATTTAACCACACACAGATAAGGCATAAAACTCATGACAGGACTTGTTGGATGCTGTCAAATGAAAAGTGAGTATATCCAGGGATTTCCTTATGGTCGGTATTCATATGACTGTCTATGTAATTACTGCATGGTGAATACTTGGTGGTGTCAATACACATTTAGAATACATCTTAACAAAATAACTAAAGGGGGTTGATTCATTTCTCACGTCTGCCACTTCTGTTACCACCTCGACGGCGCAACTGCACACTAGAACTTTGCCCTCTCGCCCGACAACAATGTAACCTTTCCAGGTTTTCCTTCAGCGTCTCAGGGCACAGCAGTGGAGCCACGCCACAAGGACAGTCTCCCCCTCCGGCCACAGAGCGACAGAGGAGACGAAGAGGAGTGAGGGAAATATTTAAACCGTTTTTCTGCCAAACTATTTTCTATGAATATCCTCTTCTTTTTTTTTAAAGAAAAACATTCATCGGATGGATGCAACAAAAATCAGTCCCGACTAGTCGTTTTTGTATCTTGTGGAAAACTACAACCGATTCAATTTGAACAACACTTCACAAGTGAGAGGATTAATTCTTCATGAAGAGTGATGTGTCTTTCTATGATTGCAGGAACCTTTTTTTTATTATTTAGATGAATGATTTCCATTACAACCTCAACCAGCAATATATTTGGAATAAAAGACCAAACATTATATCACTTCTCTGTAAACCTATACTAAACTTGCATGGTTCATCTCAGGGTTTCAGAAGGTTCTGGGCTTTTTGTAAAATAAATCTTTTCAATAAAATACAACACTTTTCTAATACGACTGAAACACAAGATCATTATAATTATAAGAGTTTTAAACAGTTAAGTCTTGGAGGTATTGGAATCACTTTACTTGAACGAACATGCAACTGATTGACAAATTAGCTGTTTGTGTGCAAAAACAATAGTTAGATTCATATATTACAGATCTAGTAATATATTATACTTTTTAAAGACGTCTTTTTAGGTGTATGTAAAAAAACACAATTGCAGCATTTAGATACTAATATTTTACAAAACCAAGGAATAGGTTTTTTTGCCAACATAAAAGAACTGGTGAGGATAGAACATCTTTTTGGTTTTTTAGCAAGTTGAAGCCATGGAAGAGAGGAGGCGGCCGGGCTACAGCGTGCACAGGGAGGTCCTGGACGAAGAGGCCGTGGATGAGATTGCAAAAAAGTCTGACTCAAAGTCATCCCTGCGTGAGAAGCTCAAAAAGTCAATGAGGTAAAGTTCCCCCGAATGATTTGATAAAGTAATAACCTTACTGAATTGTATTTGAATATTTTATTTCAAGTTGGGATGATTACATGAAACAAATCAAACATTTTATGACCCTCAACTTTCAATAACTCATCTAATAATAATTCATCTGCTTCATTTCTATCCGTTTGGCCAAAGTGTCTTTTTAAACGCCACGAATGTTGAAACTTGAAATGACAGGACTTTCTTTTTGTTTTTTTCTTCCCTCAGGTGTTCTGGTCCCAGGTTGAAGAGCTGCCTGCTGGGGAGCGTTCCCGTTCTGTCATGGCTGCCTCGGTACTCGCTCAGAGACAACTGCCTGGGCGACCTGATCTCTGGAATCAGTGTGGGGATCATGCAGCTCCCGCAGGGTGAGGGTGAAACCATCCCATCGCACGCTGACTGTTAGCCGGGAATGTTTAAATATTTGAACCGAAATGTCCACAATCTTTATTAACGTAAATTTAACTGTAGAAGATAAATAATTGGTTTGTTTTACCCTACAATTTAATACCGTTCCTGTGACGAGCGGTTTTCTGATTGCTACTGTAATGTTGTTATCATCTGCTCTGCTATCACTACAGGTATGGCTTATGCCCTGCTCGCCTCTGTCCCTGCAGTCTTTGGACTTTACTCCTCTTTTTATCCAGTCCTCGTCTACTTCATCTTTGGCACTTCAAAGCATATTTCCCTGGGTTTGTTCTTAAACACGTTATCTGCACACAAGTCATTTAGACACAAGGGGATTAATCCAACATGATCCAATATGTTGTTTACCGGCCAGCAAACACATGGGCGGATGCCTCCGTCTCCCTTATTTAGGAACGTTTGCGGTGTTGAGTGTGATGGTTGGAGGAGTGACAGAGCGATTAGCACCGGACTCCAACTTCATGATTTGGGACAACGTGACCAACGCCAGTGAAGTCGACGTGGTCGCCCGGGACGCAGAGAGGGTCAAAGTGGCTGCAGCCGTCACCTTCGTGTCTGGATTATTTCAGGTAAATTACTGGAAGTCAAATGTTTGGAGGTAATCCTCCCATTGATACTTCTCATAATGATCACTAGGGATTTTCTGCAAGAAACACATCGATCCAATAGAATACTGAAATACGCATCCTCAGAGCGTGAACAACAAAAGATTCAAGCCTCCAAAAGGATCCATATGGGATCCATCCAGCTTGTGCTCTCTGTGTCCTAAAAACATGTGTCTCTCTCGTTGTCCAGGCTGAAAGGGAAAGTTGTAGTTAATAAGTAATGCATTTGTAGACAAGTTCTGTGCCTGTAAAACTAGACCCTGGTTATCATCTGTGAGCAAACCTGTTTGTGATTCTGTGAATGTTAATGTTAACACAGACAGACGTATATGAATCCAATATTATTCTGAATCTTTTGACTTGTTGATGTGAAGCTCACTGTGTCTTTCAATACGTATGTAGATTCTACTCGGCCTCGTCCAGTTTGGTTTCGTTGTGACCTACCTGTCCGAGCCGCTGGTCCGAGGTTACACCACAGGAGCGGCCATCCACGTCATCGTGTCCCAGCTCAAATACACCTTCGGCATCAGACCCGTGAGACACAGTGGACCGCTCTCATTGATATATGTAAGAAAGAACACAGTGGACACCTGCTCATGTTTTTTTATTTGTTTTAATGACTAATGCTATTTGGGGGTTTTGGAAGATCCTGCAAGTGAGATAATACAACTTCATCAGCATAGTGGGCTAATAATGTATAACAATGTCTGCGTCCCCCCTGTAAGCATTCATGTATCTACGCCACAAAACAGCCAGGAGTGAAACATTTGCTTGCTGACAGGCTGACGGACAAGAATCTAACATGAGCATTGTCTTTTCTTGTGTGACATGTTGTACCGCTTATTTCTCCCAAACAATTGTAATATATATTTGATTGCAGACGGTGTTGGAGATATGCTATCTCCTTCCAAAGACAAACATTGGTTCTCTTGTGGTCAGTATCGTCGCAATAATCTGCCTCATCCTCGTAAAGGAGCTCAACGCATACTTGAGTAAAAAACTACCTGTTCCCATACCGGTGGAACTGCTTGGTGTGAGTATAGATCGGCTTGTCAAGTACTCAATGCACAGTCAATCCCTCACAAAGACGCTGTGACACTTACACCCACGAATGAATCTCCTATGATCCAGATTGTAATCGCCACAGTCATCTCCTGGCAAGTTAACTTGAAGGACAAATATGGAGTGGACGTGGTGGGACTGATTCCCTCAGGGTGAGAAACACACACACACACACACACACCAAACATACGTGAACGTGTGTTTACACATGTGAAAAGCCACGGCGTCTGTAATTGCTGATGTATTCTACCCTGCATGTTCACCAGCCTCCAACCGCCGGTGCTCCCGGACGCCTCTCTGTTTGGTCAGGTGATCGGGGACGCCTTCGCTCTGGCCGTGGTCGGCTACGGCATCGCCATCTCCCTGGGACGAATCTTTGCGCTAAAATATGGATACAAAGTGGACAGCAACCAGGTGAGGAGGTGATGGATGGACTCTGGGATGAAGTGCTTTTCATATCTTGTAAATAAATAGTGTGAATTTCCTTGTTTAAGGAACTGATCGCTCTGGGTCTGAGTAACTCCATCGGAGGCGTCTTCCAGTGTTTCGCCATCAGCTGCTCCATGTCTCGCAGCATGGTTCAGGAGAGCACAGGCGGGAAGACTCAGGTTGGTTATGCTGCTGAACTGCCCGTGAGTGATTGCACATTGTCAGGGTGCCTTCATCTCTGTCACAAAGAAGAGACTATTCTCACACCTACCATCCTAGTATCAGAAAAAAATAAAAATGTGACACATCTGAACCACTTGTGCTGCTTTTATGATCAAAGTAAGGTAGACCTTTATGGGGCTAATACATAGTAATCAATGTGCTACTGATGCACCACTACAAAGTTACATTTCAACCGTTTGCCTCGTTTAGTTTATATGGTCTTCTGTGGTTCTCTTTTGTTTGTTCCAAATGGCTGAACACCATTTCAGCAACATTTTAAAAATGGTGTTTTCTATGGCTTGTTTTTCCTGGACAGGCCATTCCATGAGATGATCGTTCTGCTGCTAAACTGGTTCCCCTCAAAGGTCAAGCAGAGTGAGAAAACGGGCATAATTAACGTCACTCTGAAGTGGCGTCATTAAAAAACACTTAGGCAGTTGTTTTTTTTGCTCACATCGCTGAAGTCCACCTACACAAACACAGATTTGCCAAGCGGCTAAACCGATTTAGTATGACAACACCATCAATCAGCTGAGGCCCATTACAGGAGAGAGGCGCTAACTGATGCTGCTGCATTATGTACCGCATTCTCTTAAATAATCACTACATCATTCATCTTTTTCTTCAACCCGCTTCCTCTGATGTCTCTGTCCTGATTTTCATTCATCGTGCCTCTATTCTCTCTCTCTCTCTCTCTTCACTGCAGGTTGCTGGTGCTCTATCTGCAGTAGTTATCCTTTTCATCACGCTCTGGATTGGAACGCTCTTTGAAGATTTGCCAAAGGTGCTGTGGATGTTTGAATGCCTTCACATCTGTGCACACATGTGTCTGCTAAATTGTGAACCACCCTCCTCAAACGATAGACAACCCGTTGAGATTGTGTTGCTATCAGGCAACCAGCAGATATTACTTCAGCTTTGTACTAAAGCACATAGCTTCTTTTTAATAAACAGATGATTATAACCAGAAATGAGTGAACCAGACGGCCGTTAAGCCAGATTGTCTTAACAACGTCATGACTTTTTCTGGAAAACTCTTGGTCATTGGTTTGCAGACTTTTTAAGTAGACGTCATGACAGGTCACCATCCTACACAAGAGGTTTGACTGAAACAAACTAAGTCACCTCCGTGCTTTCATGTATACTTGACTCACTTTGCAGGCAGTGCTGGCCGCCATCATCTATGTCAACCTCCAGGGCATGATGAAGCAATTCATGGACATCCGTGTGCTGTGGAGGAGCAACAAAGTAGACATGGTGAGTGTAGTAAAGACTATAGATACGGTACTGGTTAATGATTTTGGTAACAGGATGAACTTCAGAGACACATTCACACCTAATTTCAGAGCGCCAAGGGATAAAAGCACTTAAATCCGCCCTCTATTAGTAAGTCCCAGTGAACTTTGATATTTCTTGAGAAGAACCACGGATGTGTCCAACCGACTGGTACAATAGCTGCATCGTTATTACTGCTGGATGGATTTAAATCAAATGCTACCTAAAAATAATTGAAGTGTAGTTGGAGTGGAGTTATACACTGTTTGGTTCGTAATGTTTCACTTGGTAAAAATAGACAATTTAGGCTTTTGTGAAAGCAAAGCGAGCAACAAGGATAAACATTTTGAAACACGTGGAAAAACACGTGAAAATTCCTTATTCCTTATAAACTTATTAGGCCACTGAGGATTTAAAAAATGTATTTGCAATCAAGACAAAACTTCACATTTCAACCATCTAACAACAGCAAAGTTGAATCTTATTTCAATTTAACACTTGCCTGCCCGCTGTTCATCATCATCATCACTCCCTCCCTCTGTAGTTGATCTGGGTGGCCACCTTCATCCTCACCTTGCTGTTGAACCCTGACCTGGGACTGGCTGCTGCCATTGGTTTCTCTATGCTCACCGTCATCTTCAGGACACAACTGTAGGAGTACAGTGCCACACACACACCAACAATTATACACTAATAAACACATCTTGAGTTTAGTGTGGAAGTGAAACCATCAATCACAACAACAAATATTGAATTGAGTTCTTCTCTTGCAGACGATATCCAATTACAAATGATTACAGATTGATTAAAACAGGCTTTGTTTTGTGTGTATTCCAGACCTAAATACTCCAAATTAGGGCAGGTCCCAGACACCGACATTTACAGGCCACTGGAGGACTACGATGAGGTTTGGCACATTACATTTATGATTTGATATAACTTGAAACCGGGGGTCAGGGCGAGTACTGGTCTAGAGATGAATAGAACAATGGAAGGTGAACAAAACCTGTAAAAAAGGACATGTTGAGTAGGCTATAATTACCACAACATTGTACACAGATATCCATCGATCCTAAATGATGAATCTCAATGACTTTGATCCCCTGACCCGACCACGAAAGGGACATCTGTGGTTTCATGTTAAATGTCGTAATGACTGTCCCCCTCCAGATGAACTGTGATTTAACTTTGTGACCTTACTGATTGTTAGCATGCTAACACGCAACGCCAAGATGGTGTATGAAATGAATATAATACCTTTATTATTAAATCAAATTCAATTCAATTGTGCCCATGTAAGAATGCGAATATCAGCATTTTCCGACTGTTAAACTGAATAACTTATCCGAGCGATTGGTTTCAGCTGAAGCAAGTGCCAGGGATTTTGATCTTCCGTTCCTCTGCCACCCTCTACTTTGCCAATGCTGAGATGTACCAAGAAGCACTTGGAGAGAAGGTGAGGACACACGCACCTTAACCCCATCCTCCCCCGAAATCCAGGTGCTACTCTTTAATCCAGCTCCCTGCAGAAGTGCAACGGATCAAATGTTCTCACACTCAGACTCTAAAAGTAAAACCTGCACCAGAACACCAACACAAGAATATTAATGCAAATGTGTGTATTAATGTAGACCAAAAAACAGCATCAGATATAGAAACGCCATAGTGGAAACACGAGCCCCAATGAATATACAGACGGACACAACAAAGCCACACACACACACACACACACAGAAAAGAAAAGAAGAAACAACCACCTCCACCAACAACCCTTTTTGTCACAGTTTCCGTGCAATTAACTCTGCGCTCGCAAACATTATTTCTGACACTAATAACTTACCCGGCATTTCACCGATTCACGTCACGGCCGTGACAGACATTGTTAGAAATGTCATCCCACCATTTTCTCCTCTCCTTTGTTTCCCTTGAACTTTTGTTTGAACAATCCCCTCCATCTCCTTCCTCCTCCCCTTTTTTCCTCCTCTTCCTCCTCGTCTGTCACGTCTCTTTGGGGTAAATGGGAAGAGGGATTGAGGGAAGGTAGAAAACAGATGACAAAAGATGGAGGGAGGGTGAGAGGCAGAGCGTGAATACGGGTGGGAGATAATGGAGCGGCTCATTCACCACAATGTCAGCATGTCAAAGCCACCGGGTCGCTCTTTTCTTGCTTATCTTACATAAAGCTGTTGCTGGCCGTCAGAGGCTGAATGTCTGTTAATAAGGTTATAAATTACCACCAGATGAATTATGGTGACTTTCTATCTGCATGGTAAGAGCTTCTACTCGACCAGTCACTGCGGCATTCAGACAACTCCAATTTGGGGATTCGTTTCCAAGATGAAAGTTGCAAGGGAAATCTGAGATTGCTTACTGGTAGTCCTCGCCGACAGCGATTAAGCTGGTGTTTCGCAGTTGTGTAATGGGATACTAATGCTGTCATTGCATGAACCAGTAATGCCAGTAAGGAAACATTTGGAGCACTGCCCACGTAAAGACTTAGTGCAAGAAATACAGCTTTAGAAATGAATGACAGCCACTCAAAAATAATTTATTCAATGATGAAGTGACCAAATTCAAGGAGGACTCACACCTCATTTCTACTGCATGCGTCCTTGCAGCTTTGTGAGTGATGCCGTTGGTATTTGCTGATCCCAACATGAAAACCGGTTTCTCTTGTCCAACAGGACAGCTTGACAATTGTCTTAAAACAATACTCAGCCTCTCAAATGTACCTTGAACGTGATCACACCCAGATTGTATTTAGGCAGACTTAAAAACCATGAATCTATCCCATAAATTCAAGCGGACTGGTGTTACTCTGGTAGCTGTGCTACTGACGGAATGGGCTGTAATGCACAGTGCAGTATTTCCTGTAGAGCTCTAGATTTTTGTCGACGATCACGGTGTGGATTAAGTACCTTTAACAATTTTTCCCAACTGTCTCTAGAATTATCCTGAACACGTTTCTATGCCAAACAATATTGTACAAATACCAATTTGTATTATTTGAAATAATTAGGATTACAAATATATATGATCACCATTTGAGTAAAAAAGCAAAACAGATGCGGGCATAATTTTGTCTCAAGCTTGGAGACAATTTACAGTCTGAGAAAGTTACAGAAATAAGTGGTGGTGCGTTGTCGTCATAGTGGATTTATCTGTAGGTGATATATGTGAGCTTCACTATCACTGTCTGTGGTTGTCTTTTGCTGATTCTTTTAGTCGGGCATTGACATTACCAAACTCCTGTCAGCGAAGAAGAAACTAGAGGCCAAAAGGAAGAGGCACGAGAAGAAAAATGCCAAGAAAGCTGCAAAGAGGAGCGCCGCGAACCTGGTGAGGACGGCAAGAGACACAATGACTGTAAACGACACAATAGAAGTTTTTGTCCACTTTATTCAAAAACGCACAGACCACCATCCAAGCTTGATTGACACCTTTCAAACACAACTGTCTTTTTATACAAAGGTATTTTTGTTAAACAGAAAGAAAATATTCAAACATGTCTGACCCCAAAACACCATGTTAATTTGAATTCCTTGTGCTGAAAGTACATTTGATTGCGATTTATCGTCTGAACAAGCATAACATTTTAATGTTGTGTCTCCTCCAATACAGGAGGGGGGGCCAGAGAGGGACGGCCAGAATGAGATTGCCATCATTGAGATGGATGCGGAGCCCGACCCCTCACTCCCCAGAGCCATCATCCTCGACCTCAGCCCGGTCAACTTCTTGGATACGGTGGCCGTCAAGACGCTGCGCAGTGTACGTTCAATGACACGCACATTTACACATCTGCACATGCAAAGAGATGAGGGGAAATATTCAATAAGATTAAGAATTGTACTTCTCGCATATGTGCATATAGAAGTGGTTATTATTTTGTGTCTTAACATACATTTGTTGTCTACATTTCTTCTTGTTTAACCACTTTTTAACTTTGCTTTTCACTGCTAGACCTTTCCTCCATACATCCAGTACTTTGTAATCAATAAACTCCTCAGGTGTTCAAATCCGGTAAATTGAATTGTCAGACTAATGAAATGATCTCCTGTCCAACCTTTTCCTGTTTCAGATCCGGAGGGACTATGGGGAAGTTTGTATAGAGGTGGTTCTCGCTGGCTGCTCCAGTAAGTTCAATTTGATGAAAATGAGCTCTTAAAGCCAGTTTGTAGGCGCGGCTGAGACCGGAACAGGGCAATGAATACGAGACGGGGTTCAGTTTGTGCGCCATGATAGTCGTTGTTCCTTCTTTCTTTAATTTGCGTTATTGTAAAGCTTGTACAACTTTAAAGTGAAAACAGTCTCAAATCTTACTTGCCCTTAAGCAGGAACCTTTGAGATATTGTGTGATAGATGTCACTGATTGCCTGACAGTTAAGTTCAGTTTAAGAATAGCAGAATTCCAGTGGGATCCGGTTGTCCCACATACTGTAACTCACACATGATGTGTTTTTACACTCACGTTCCAGGCCACACTTTGCCACACAGAATTTATATTCATTCAACCACACAAAATGTTATTTCAGCCTTTTGCCATTGTTCTTTCAACACTTCCATGTAGGAACAACTTCAGCCAATTAGAGGTCTGTTTTGCAGAAAACACTATTCAAGGTTTGCTATGTTTGCTAAACAATATTGGGTCATGAGAAGGTTTTAGTGAGTCCTACGGGAAGCTAAGAGAGAACATTAAACCTGTTCTCAATGTATTAAAGCGCCTTCTTTTTCCAGATTTTTCACATAGAGGCATCCAGTGTGTTTCAAAGGTTCAGCAGCTCTAATTAGCCTGAACCAAGTCGATAGCCTGTAATCAGAGAAAATACTTCATTGACGAGCAAAGGGACTGTTCACACGGCGAGGAGTTATGTGGTTTAATTACCAGTCATCCGCTCTCTTTCTAGGTGGCGTCATAGACAACCTGCAGACAGCAGGTTTCTTTAACGACAAGGTGACCAAGTCCTGTCTCTTCTCCACCGTCCATGACGCCGTTCTGCACTGTCAGTCTGCCCAAAAGCACAGCCCTCATGAGGTGAGCGTACACATACGCACCCAAACAGACCCGTCATCACAAAGTAGTACGGGCAGGTTTTGTAGAATTATCCAACAGAAAATAAGGCAGATGTGTTAATTTTTTTAACCGAAGGACTAATTTTGTTACATTTTATAGCTTTACATCTTTACTTTTTACATTTGGTTTGGAGCAAACTGAAAAGTTGCGACGTCCAGATCAAACAAGGTAGTTGTGAAAATAAACTCATTTTGGTCTCTCTAACCAGCCTGATCTCCAAAACCTGTTCGTAAAAATGCATACGAAAATCTTGAACATACAAATTCGTAGTGATACATACTAAATAAATACGGACTGCAACTGATGACGTCACCCTATTCAAAGCGAATGGGGACCTGCGCCCCGTAAACACACTTTGTGAAGTCTAACGATGTAAAATAAACGTGTTATGATTGCATTTTTAACGAGAAATCAATGTTTGTATGTTCAAGTTTTTCGTATACATTTTTACGAACAGGTTTTGGAGATCACGTTGCTCTAACGGCTGTCCTTCTTAAAAACTTAAGGTTTTTAAAAGGATTTTAATCGTTAAAAAACTTGATTTACTTATAGACGGAACTGCAACGACTGGACCGCCTGCTGCCATCCGCTGCAGCAAAGTAACGTTGCTAGTAAAACCAAAATAATGAGTAAAAGATGCAAAAGCGTAGAGCTTCAAAGCTCTATGGAGCCGATGGGAGGGGGGTCAGGCGATAATTCGGTACGAGCGACCCCTTTGCCATTATCCATTGTAATTTGATTCACCGACAGTATAATGTGAAGGAATATTGATCGGAGCAGCTGAGAGTGTTCATGTTGACAGCCGACAGCAGCAAATCCACATGTTTGTATGTAAAACGTTGAATTGTGCAGCAGCTGAAGACGAGCTGAGTGAACCGTCTCCCTGTCGGAAGGTCACACTGCGCTGCACTTCATGAAAAGGGGAAAATCGAATTGATCGACATCACATTCCTAATCAATCCACCTCATCACTTACAAGAATATGCAAACCGGTCCCATTCACTTAAGAGCCTGGAGGGTGGGAATTATGTGTTAAGCTCTTAATATCTTAATGGACAATCATTTAAATTGATTTGATTGTAGTCAAAATCCCATGTGATTTTTTTAATACACAGTTGCACACAAACAGCTAAAGAGCATTTTATGTAGCAATCTCCTAAACACGCCCCTGTGCTGGCATGGTTGTCTGCAGATGGTTCCGTGCATGTGCTTTCATTTCTTCCTGTTTCGTGTTGGTATTTGGTTGGATTAATGTTTCTGTCCCCATAAGACCAATCTAACTGAAAACAAAGAAGTGGCTCTGATCCATGAAAGCTCAGCTCGCAGGCGCTATCGCTTATCATGGGAGAGTTGGGGAGCACACGCACACACATGAAAACCCAAACAGTCACTGGCATGCACACAATACAGAAATCCGTTGTGCATGGTGAGTGGAGCATGAGGTTGTGCCAAAAACAACAAGAAGGCACAGTAACTTGCAAGCCCCTGTATGCAGATGAATGAATACTCACATACAGACATCCACATGCAGGTTGCCCTAAATGAGTATCTTTCACATGGAAATGGTTTTACATGAAAGAAGCAAGCCGTTAAATGAATAAATCCATCGGGCCCTTAGTTTATCTCCAGCTCACATCACTTTACAGAAGCATTTCAGCTCACCAGAGAGCCAGTGGAGCCTCACATTCACCCCCGAGGCCCACCAGAAGCACAATATATAATATTCAACATAACGGAGAGAATGCGGGAATCCACATGGTGCAAAGTGAAGCCACCCGACTGAAAATAGTTTGACTCATGAACCATTATTTGTGGGATTGGCCTGCCGGGCCAAAGTTTGAGGCGGCCTGTTTCCAGTCGCGCTCCTCCTCGTTCAACGCCACTCAGACTTTTGTGCCACGGCAAAGAAAAGGAAAACATATTTTGAAAATCTTGAATCTTCTGCTCGGTATCTGTCCTCTTCTCTCTTTGGTGCACCTTCCTTCGTTTTAATCTCTCCTGTGCTTCTGTTTCACAGGACTACAACGCGACACATTTCTGAGTCCTGAGAAGAGTGATGGAGGGTTTTATGAACAAGAGCCGGACATGAGGATTTAATCCAGTGAGCTTCTGATTTCGGGGGCACTGCACAGAAACCCAAACATGCAGACAAACACTCATTGTAACAAACACAGTTACACACCCCGAGTCCTGCAATGATAAGCCTCGCTGGAGGAGTTTACACATCCAAGCCATGGAAAAACAACACAGACATACAGATGTGTAGTTAAAACACATTAATACAGACTGATGTTTTTCTGTGATGTATTTATGCATCAAAAAGGATTCTTTTAAATTGCCCTTAATCGGTAAAATACACCAAATAAAAACGTGCATGGATGGTTTATTCCCGAAAATCTAAAAATCAGCCAATTTCAATGTAATCACATGGAAAATAAACATTGTTTTACTTCTCATTGAATGATACCGTTCGTGATTTGAGGATTCCAACGAAGGCATTTCGATTTGGTGACGCGCCAACAGGAAATTTCAAAAAGCCTCTGAAAAGATGAGGTCTGATGTTCTCCCTTCCCGTGTCACTGGGACCAGGACGCTGCCTTCGCACTCAGGCTCTTTGTTTGTGTACAGACGCATTCAGTGAATTTTGTTTTTCTGCCTGATGTTTGAGATGCTCATTCATGTTACTCAGGAACAGAGAGTAGCAATGAGGGCGGCGGAAACCAAACCCAGAACCACCTCACGTGTTCTCATATTGTAGCAAATAAGCAAACTCAATCTTTTTTGTTGCTGTTTTGACCCTGAATCACTCATGAAACAGCAATGTGCTGGAAAGGGATTATAGTTCATTTAATTATCAGTGCAGTTGGAGACGTGGTGATTTCAAACACATCACTTGTCTGTTTACTACAACCAGGTTTGATGAATCATTGTTTATTCGAACACTATGAATCATATTTTCTTAATGTTATCCTCATAAATATTATTTAAAGTACCTTGCTTTTCCTGCGATGGATTTACTTACCTAATTCCAAAAAGTGAAACGAATGTTTTCTTTAAGACCTGACAAAAAAATGACTAAAATTGAACCTGCACTAATATAATATTATCATAATCATAACGTATCATATATCAAACAAGGTGCCATTTTAGAGCTTTTGGATTGTTATCCCACTTTACTGTTTGAGTTCATTGCTCTTATCAGCCTCATCTACAGATGTAAACGACCAGCTTTGATGAAGCGAAGCTAAATGGAATTAAGTATGGAACTAACATTTGTCAGATGGCCCGAAGTCACGACCGACTTTGTGTTTGTTGGAAACAAAAATGACATGTGGAGTTTTCTTGTGAACACACAAACCTTGGGTTTACATGGTGTTTAGTTGTAAAAAACTCATTCCACAATAAATATAAAAGGAAAACTGATTAAAAAACAGGAATATATTTTAAACCTGCATTGTTTGCATCCGTGTTGACCGGCTTGTGCTATTCCGATTTCTCCCTGTCTATGTGCACTAAAAGGTCCTTTTCTGCTCTCCTACCATCACAACTTCATACAGTCATAAAAACAGGAATATCAATCATGTAATCGTTTGTAATAGAACGGGCTCCGTTTATTCCTATAAGCTGCTCTGGTAAATGACCGTAGATCTTCCAGTGATCGTTTGCATTCACGGGCCCATAAAGCTGATGCACCAGTATCCCCTTTAACCCAAAGTCTGCTCTTTTCTACTGGAAATATGGTTCCGTTTGGAAGTCTGTGAGGGACCAGTCAGTCGTAATTCACTGTTTGGCCACTATTTAAAACGGAACCCTTCAAAGCCGAGCAGTTAATTCTCTGAGGGTTTGGATGAGGCATCAAATCCAGAAATAAATAGTAGCCTATTTGCACTTTTACACAAGCTTGAGGCATTATAACATCTCAAAACCCCCAAATAAGTGAATGTTGCTCGTGTGTTTCTTAAGAAAATGTGGTTGCGAACAACAAGTGTCTAAATGATATTATCTAATGTCCCCACACTACCTTCATCTTATATTCACACTGTTGATCTGCGGAGGGAACTAACGCAACGTTAACTTCCCCCTGTCACTACACAGCAAACAAGGTCAACCATTTACATACCAGTTGGACTACAATGACAAAAACACCTCACAGGTGGAAGCTTCAATCTGATAAATAAAGAGAGAGAGAGAGAGAGAGAGAGAGAGAATGTAAACCATGTGGACTCAACCAGGGTGAGTTTTTTTCTTTCTCAGAAACGGTAATGTGAGCGTGCGAGACAGAGAGAGAGAGAGAGGGATGGGTGTGTGTGTGTGTGTGTGTGTGTGTGTGTTGTGTGGATACTTCTTTAGTGTCAACCCAAACGTCGCTGACTGCATTCTTCCCTCGCAGGGTGACGCGGGCGGAGTATCAGAGAAAGGGGGGACCCAGAGAGGGAGAACGGAAGAGAGAGACACACAAGTATAGAAGAGAGCCCGAGGAGAAGCTGAAACTTCACCGCAAACGCTCCTTCACAGGTTGGTTCCACGTCTATGATTTACTTTGCGCACTTTTGCCATATTTCTGCACGGGGACCCACCGGTGCGTCTGCGGCACTCGGTCCTGACCTTTATACGACGGACACTCCGGCGCACTGAATCTCCAGCATAATAATCCCTTGGCGGTCGTATAGTTGTGCAGCAGTATTTTCTCACGGTGTTTAAAATAAAACGCGCGTTTATTCCGCTAGCGCACTTACCGGCGCACTGGCATCGACGTCAAACCGTTGAAGGCTATTCGGTTCAGTGGGGACATTTGAGTCGCTCCTCCCGGTAGCACGGACGTCCCTCCTGTTACTTACACAGCCATGTGCATGGACATGCAACGGGATGGTTGCAGCGAAGATGAAAACGTTTTTTTTTTATTTGCGCGCACGCCACGAGAGCATGTGTCAAATAAGCATCGACTCACACTCATAGTTACACGTGTTTTTATTTCCGAGCGGGAGGCGCAGTACTCGGGTGGACTGTTGCGGTTCTGACCCGTTCGGCTGGAACGATTTACGCGCGGAGACGAGCGGACATGTGTCGCCTGTTATTAATCATACAGGAAGAAAAAAAAATACCGTGAACCCGCGTCAGCTCAGCCTGAAATCACAATATAGCGCCGAGCCACAGACGGACACACAGTTCACTCGTGTTTTTTATTCAACAATCGGAATGGAATAAGGACGTACGGGCTTTCACCGAATCACCTGAGGAGCGCGGTGTGACTGTCCTCTCCATTGGAACAGCGGCACATTCCGGTAACGTGACGTGGATCCAGTTCATCCAGCCGGACCTGATGCCAGGATGGCCTCTGTGTGTGTGTGTGCGTGTGCGTGTGCGTGCGTGTGCGTGTGTGTGTGTGTGTGTTTTCATGGGCAGGCAGAGGTGAGGGATCAAATAAAACTGATTAATTTGGAGAGGGACCGGTGCCAACAATTGACCCAATTTAAATCTTCTCTCCGGTATTTTTCTTACTACATGTGCTACTCATATCCCTTTAAACAGTCAACTGTTAACTTGTGTTTTATTATTCATATTTACATATATTTTCTAACCTTACAGTACAGTGTTGTTGCAGTGGCCGCTTTGTGCACATTGGTAACAACACTACATTGCACTTTTAAGTGGCAATCATCACAATCATTGTCGTGTGTGTGTGTGTGAGTGTGAGAGAGATGGGGGAGGAGGGGGGAGGCTGTAAGAAGCCGAGCATATGGCCCCGTGACGTAACACCGGTCGTTGCGGACGTTCTGACAACACCGCCTGTGTGTGTGTGTGTTTGCGCGTGCGTGCGCGTGCGTGTAGCTGCGCGCGTCCTCGCCCGCAACAACTGCCTCGTCTCGGACGCACGCGGATGCAAATAATAGCCTTTAAAAAAAACAAAAACGCACCGTAGCCCGCGATGAACGCCTCCACCGCCGCCGGCTGCCTGCTCGCCGCCGGCCTCAGCTGGTACCTGGTCGGCAGCGATGTGCTCTCATCGCTGCTGCTGCGGCTCTCTCTTGCAGACCCCTCCATGCCCGAGCCGGGAGCCGCTGCGCGCCGGAGCCCGCAGGGGGTTCCTTACGCCGAGCTGCGACACTTCGTCAACGCCGACGGGCTGCACCTGTTCTGCCGCTACTGGGAGCCCGCCGCCCCGCCAAGGTCAGTGGAGAGCGGCGCAGGAGAACCGGCGTTCACTGCCCCCCCCCCCGGTGGAGTCTGTTCCACACGGTGGGGGGGGGGGGCTTCATTTGAAGTGTTTAGCTTTATAAAGATGCGTTTTGAGGAAAGGGTTTCTATTCACGTGGTTGCTTTCTGTCCTGGAGTCACATGAGCATTTCAACTTCCTGCATGTGTGTGTGTGTGTGTGTGTGTGTGTGTGTGTGTGTGTGTGTGTGTGTGTGTGTGTGTGTGTGTGTGGAGGGGGAGGGGGGGGGGGTGTTCCAGGACCATGAGTTCAAAAGTACACAGTATGGTGTTCTCCACCCCTACCTGGTCAGTGCAGATGGATGTGTGTTATTGTTTTAACCAACACCAACATCGGTATGAATCCACACCCATCAGAGTTGTTATTTTCAAACGGAGGGTCACGCATTCATCCACCCATAAGGAGTCGTATGTGCTCTATGGCTGGTCAAACACCCTCCTATCACCACGCCTCGCCTCCAGCCTTACACAGTAAAGTCAACACTTAAATGATGTTTTAAACCGTTACACAATATTTTGAGCTTGACAGGGGTTACATAATGAGACGCAGCCTATGAGCTGTGATCCAGTAGCTCTACATTAAACATTCATGCACATAGCCCAGGTCCATTTCATAAAATACTTACATCTTTATTGCAGGCCTAGAAAGTCCTGGGCCGACCCCTAAATGATGTAATCGGTTTACTACTAATGTTTGCAACACAAACATCATTAGGTCGAACTGAGAGAACAACAGGCCACCAGTTAGACTAAATAAAGGAAATAAAATCAACCTGTAGCAAGTTGACAGTAGACAATTGAGTCTCATTCTGTGACCCAAGCTTGTTAAAAAAACATTATAATTATGTTAATCTCTTTATAGTGCTGACTGCCAGACGCACCACTGACTCATAATGGGTCATGACCCCATTTTACTAAGACGCGGAACATTGTTACTCCCAAAAGGAGACAGATGAACAACAGTACAGACTCCAGCGCCCTAGATGACTTCTAAAAAATACAACTTTCCAAGAATGTTGGTTATCAAATAACAACATCTGTCTCCTCATACAGTTTGGAAATATTGGAGCAAATGTCTGTATCTATTTTCTTGTATCAAGTTTTGTCTTTGTTGCTTTTTAATGGACTAGTGTACCCGTAAACCCTTGTGTTTGGAGGTTGTAGGTGATTCGAATGGTACGCTCATCCTTGATGAACAGCATCATAGTGCTTTTCCAAAAGGCCTGATGCTGACTAATAGGCAACGCGGTCGCTCAGTCAAAAATACATCAAACAGTACAACTTGATGATTAATGGCTCCGGTTTATGAGAAACCCACTCGGTGCTGGTGTCTGCTGTTGGTGGTGGTCACAAATAACACGGTTGCATGCAGCCCAGAAGGAAAGGGATGTGACAGAGACACCACAAAACATCTGGAGTCAAGACATTACTGACTTCTCCCACACACACAGACTCACACATCTCAGTAGAGCGGCGACTCATTACAGCCGCTTGTGTCTGGGACTCTGCTACATAATTGCTTCACAAACTTTATAAAACAAACTTTTACACCAGCTTGTTTGTTATTCTGCAGATATGTTCAATGTCTGCAGCATGTGTGCATGCAGATGCTGTTACACCCGTGTGCAGGTATTTCTGTTCGTGGGTAGACAACATTGTATGTTGTTTTTGTGATTGGAATGAACTTCTGCCTGGTGCAGACCTGTTCTTTCAGCTCATATGTTAAGATCTAAATGTTGGTGATCCTGCTCGGGCAGTGGGACAAACATTTGAAGAGAGACAGACCGAGCTCTCTGACCAATCCCCACACTTCAGAAAATCTACTCCCTCCTCTTATACCTACTCTTAACATCAAGCATCAATTAATCAAATGACAAATGTGATTGTCATTAATCATTACAGCTTCACTGTCCATCTGTAAATCACGTTTTCTGGAAGTAAAAAGCTGAATTGAGCTGCGAGCTCAAAATAGCAGCAGATCCGTCTGTGTTGTCACTGTTTCAGAGCCAAGGCTTTGGATGGCTTATGTAACCGCGCCGGAGGCCGGTTAGTGACCATGTGAACGATGCAGGGAGTCACGTTACAGGGAGGCACGAGTGACTCCACAGGCTCCACCAGTGAGGACGCGTTCATCAGTGGCCCATGTGTGCTTTTGATGGCTGATAATCTGCACTGTTCTCAGAAGAAAAAGCTTTACAGGCTGCATCTAAGAGACTCACTGGGCGCTTGAATTCTTCACCAGCGCCCAGACTAATTAATCATTTTAGCTGAGCTAGCAGCTCCCAGAAACTTTTTACAAGCTGAAAAAACCCCAGAAGCTATTCAGTAAGACCACCATTACCCCCAAACTGAAAATGCCGCCGTCAGTGTTTATCAGAGTATAATCGTTCTGGGATGAAAGTATTTTTTCTGGTGTGAGATGATCAAAATCAGAACAAGGCTGCAGCTCACAAACATTTCCATTATTTATTGTTTGTTTTCAATTGATATGATTTTTTTTTATCAATCAACCAATTCATCTATAAAATATTTAAGAATCCCAATTTCCTAAAACCCACATGGCGTCTTTATATTGCTTGTTCTTTTTAAACCCACAGAGTTTTAGTCCTCTATGACATAAGACAAAGAAAAGCACCAGATCCGTACAGTGGAGATGATGGAATTTACATGTGTTTTTGCTTGTAAGGGGCTGAAAGGATTTATCAACCTTTAAAGGTGTAATGTGATTTTCTGCACCAATGATGACCTGCAGCAGTCTGAGAGGGGCAGGAATACATTTGTTAACTTAAGTAACTGGATCAACTGTAGGCCAGTTTTTCTCGTGGGTTATTTATTTAACAGAAAAGGCTCACGGAGTGTTTCTTTCTGGTGCGGGCCTACTTCATGTCCACCATATTCTGTAGCAATTTGGAAAATTTTGGAAAAGTGGATAATTGTGAAGTATAATATACAGCAACAAAATGTGCAATTCTTTATTTGAAATATTTTTTGTGGGGATGTGAATGAGATGAGGTCCAAGGTCAAAAGCTCCTGGAAAGCACATTCACATGGTGAGCGAGGGAGTAGGTGAAAGGTTGAGGGGAGGGATATCCACAATGATTGACAGATCTTGCAATAGACGCTAGACTAGAGCTCTGATCCCTCGTGGAGCATTTCTACCATGCATGCGCTGCACACCTGCTTTTGACATTTTAAACATTGACAGTTACACACAAACACACACTGTAAAGCTGTTATATTATTGATTTTATTGATATCATTGAGGGTGTCTTTACAATCGTCTCCTTTTGTGTTTGTCAGACCATTCAGTTCCCCTGCTGCTCCTTTTACTCTTGTCATTGGAGGATCCTTTAGAAGGATAAAAGCTCTTTAATGGTTCTCTTTGTGTTTGCACTTAGGAGCATGTATGTATTATTGTATAGAATATGCCCCATAATTCACTGAGAAAGTGCCAGCTGTGATTATTTACTGTTAATGTGTCTGAAAAGGAAGCGGAGAAAAAGAAAATGCTTCATCCCACTCGTTGCTCGTATCCCCAGTGACTTAATGGTTTCATTAATATTGTATTGCTAAGTGAGAAGTATTCCATCTATTTCACTTCAAGCAGAAGCCATTTTATGGAAATAAATTGTACAAGTACCCTTTTTAATTTCCATTGATTACATTTTCTATATTATATTTCTATATTAAATGGAAAAGAATGTTGCAACAAAAAGTACTGCAAATACATAGAGAGAAAGAAAAACGTTTATGCAAACATGCAAAGCAGCAAAAATGAAATGTAGGATTACAGCCGTAACAAGAAGTGATAAAGTGGTCGTATCGGGTAAATGAATTCATAAAATTACTTCAGGCAGAGAGTTTGCATATAATTTGTCTCTCTTTTTTTCTCATTTGTCTTTCAAGATCTTGTTCATTTAACCTCTTTGTTCTCTTGTTTGGCATCAAGGAACTGATTGCATGTCTCCACAGTGACTGTTGAGGTCTTTTTGTCTCCACAGTGTGCAGCTCTTGAGTTCTCCCGCTGAGTTGTATTATTTACTCTGAATGGCAAACGGCTTCCAAAGTAATGTTGACAATCCTATTATTTTTTTCCAAAGCCCTGCATAAATTCATGCATTTCTTTTCTACTGCCTTTAGAAGATCGCTGCGATCTTCGTGGTCCCCAAATGCTCTTTGCCCAATTCTGCATTCTGCAACTATGAGGGGGAGTGGGACATTTTTAATAGTGGGCTCTTTGGTTTTCTTTCACTGGTGTGAACTTTACTTCCGTGGATCACTGCTGTCTGCCTGCAGCCATTTCTCTCCACTACACAGCAATTTCTTCTGTCTCTCTCAGAACCCCCCCACCACACACACACACACACACACACACACACGCACACGCACACACACGGTTACGCACTTCCTTCCTCTCTCGGCCTCCATGTCATTTTTCACTCGTCACGCTGTTCTTTCTGTCATATTTAGTTTTTCTCCCCGGAATCAAATCTCTCACCTGAATTCATGGTCTGTTACAAAGTCTCACAGCGTCTTAAACACTATTAAACGTTTGTGAATTTAGTACTGTTGCATTGCAACCGCTCCCTGCAGGGCTACTTCCTGCTTGGGGGCAGATTGTGAAATTTGATCATTTTAGATGCTGCTGTGACCTGATCTTTAATTAAATATAATCTGCATAAAGGGCCATCACTGTACCTTGAATACTATTTATTCCATTTAAATCTGGAGGGCTGGTCATGAGCTTTCTTTACTTTGGAGCCTTGAAAAGTCTCTTAAGTTTTGGTTTCCCAAACGCTGTTGATGACGTTCAGTTTCAATCTGCACTACGTTTATCTTCCCGTTGTATCTTTGGTCGGTTCTGCTTTTGCTTCTATATCCGTACACACCCAAAACTACGTCTACAGCACGGAACTGGTGACCCACCCACATACCTCATGAACACGTACGCGCACACACACACACACACACACACACACACATGCTGCTCACATCAGCAGCAACAGCAGCACATCATACATGACCCTCAAACTAACCCTTTCATTTGATTGCAAACACCTGTGTTTTCCTGTGGTCAGAAGGCTTGTCGCTCCGGCTCTACACGCTAACACCGTCCTGGCGCTGCTGCGCTCACTTATATAAACTACAGTAACAGAAAGATGCCAGTCTATTCTATTCTTCTGTTAGATTATTGAACTCTTCACTTTGGTTGTTCACAATTAGTAGGTCCCCCCCCCCCCCGGTAGGGATATAGAATGAACTCAACCATGCTACCTGTTTATTGGTGGGCTGATTTATGAGCGGTGAACACATTTCATCTTCCTATAGAAAACAATTAACAAACTGTAGAGAACAACATGTTTAGATATTTTAAATAGATACATTTCGTCCACCTTTTAAATGTGAGCCTCAGTGAGCGTCAGCCGCATGCCTGAGACTCACAGTCGAAGCCACAGAATGTTCCATTCGGGCACAGTTAGAAGGTTTGTGAGTTCCTAAATAATCTTGGTATCTAAACAGCATTGCAATGAGGGGATTAGGATCTTGGCTTTGTTTTTGGTCTGTGGTTGTTGTAAGTAGCTCTGAGCAGAGCCAGAGGGAGGACTAAACTCTCTCTCCCTCTCTTTGAGTGTTTTAATAAGGCTGGTTATAAGCAAATGGAGCTGGTGTGGGAGACGAGTGGGTCTCCCGTTCCCATGAGCGATGAGGGGGAAACAGGGAGAAAGAGGCTGAAGAGAGCCTCGTTTCTTGTTACTGAAAGTTTAAAGTACCTCAGCTACATTCTATTTTCGCTATTGAGCATTTTTATTGTCTGAACAATCGTAAAAAAAATCAATATTGAAGACCGTAATACAAAACATCCCACCGGTGAAGATACTTGGTACAAGAGATGGTTGGGAAATGTGTGTTATTGAATGTTTTTCGAGCACAATTTGCGTTTGCCTTCTAATGGACGATCCCACTGGCCTCATAGGACCAGGGACCATAATCACAAAAAATCTCAATTTTGAAGTTATTAATAATAATTCATAATTATTGATTAATATAATGATTGATAATTAAGGGACTGTAGGTGTTATAAAGTACTCTTCTCCAACAGCGTGGCCTGCTTTAAGCCTAAAATGTATCCATTATATACAATATAACATTCTTTATGAGTAACATTTAAAGCCAACGATAACTGAAAAATGGTTAGTTGTCTACAGTCGCCTGTATATGTGTGAATGCAGAATTAAATCCTTCAAAACAACGCAGACTGTACACAAAGAAAGACAGAACAAATACGTATTTCGCATAGAAATCATCTGAAGGCGAGATAAATAAGGCCGACCGGCTAGATATCAAGGGAACAATGAAAGGCCAGAGAGAAATGTCACATTGCAGTGGGCCGTGTGTTGTTCCCTGTACAGTCGCCATAACAATGAACCCAGATTAGCCCCATTAGTCCCCTGCTGCCCCTCGGCATGTGTGCTACCGCACATTGTGCCTGCACAAAGACCCTCATTCACACGCACGGCCTCTCGTCAATAAGCGCGCTCACACACAGTACGCGCATGCACTCGCATGCAAGCGAGCAAACAAGTGCAGAGGAAGTCTCCGCCCGAGGCGATGGATTTTGCAGAAGGAGGAAAGGGGCAGAGAGTGAAATCAGAGAGGTTCGCTAATGAAGCCCGATGAACAGATACTCTGATTCTACTCTTCTACCCGCCTCGCACTCCCAATCACGTTCCCACATTTTTCACTTGCTTCCCCTTTTTTCTACGTGGTTGAATACATTTGGGCTAATTGTCTGCTCCCACAGCCTCCTCAGCTGTGCCGCTGTTCAGAGGAGGAACACTGCAGCGTCTCAGTGCTGCTCTGCTGCTCAATATGCACTGATAGATTAATTCATTTTTAATTTATTTTACATGTATCTGTTCTTACCCGTTTTAAATGGGTGTAAGAGATGAAACTAACAAGGAATTATCATGTCGGCTTTCACATAATGATCAGAATGTTGTTGAGATTCACTGTTGGTTGTAGTCTGCATGAAGACTAGCAGGGGGTTCTTTGGTGTTAAGATTAATAGTGACCATATAATTATATTAATATAGTTAGTTATAATATTTTTGCAGTATATTCTGCAGTAACTGATTATTTCCACATCCAGAAAATAAACGAAACATTGTCTTTCACTTGGAGGGATTTCTGTGTCCAGCGTTCCCTCTCTTATAGCTCTGCTTTTGTGCTCTCCTGAGATAAATATCAATGCTCCACTCTGTTCATCTGCAAGTCGCTCTATGTGCCCGCCTGATGTTTGGTGCCAAGCAGGAAGTGCACAATGGGACCAGGCAGCTTTTTCACAGGGGAAAGCTTCCTGCTGTGGCGGAACGCCACTCTATCAGAGCGGTAAGAGTCAATAAAATCAGTAAGGTACTATACTCACTATGGGGGATGTTTTCTTGGCACACTTTAGGCCCCTTAGTGCCAATTGGGCATTGTTTAAATGCCACGGCCTACCTGAGCATTGTTGCTGACTATGTCCATCCCTTTATGGCACCCTGTACCCATCCTCTGATGGCTGCTTCCAGCAGGATAATGCACCGTGTCACAAAGCTCGAATCATTTCAAATTGGTTTCTTCTTCACTGTACTAAAATGGCCCCCACAGTCACCAGATCTCAACCCAATAGAGCATCCTTGGGATGTGGTGGAACGGGAGCTTCGTGCCCTGGATGTGCATCTGACAAATCTCCATCAACTGCACGATGCTTTCCTATTAATATCTAAAGAATGCTTTCAGCACCTCGTTGAATCAATGCCACGTAGAATTAAGGCAGTTCTGAAGGCGAAAGGGGATCAAACACAGTATTAGTATGGTAAGAGATAATAATCTAATAATCCTTATGGTGAGTGTAGTTTTTCTTCTTGATAGCCAGCTTTGTTTTGTTTTGACAAAAAAAAGTTACCCTCAGAGGTAAAGCGACTGGTAATTGAATTATAATTTAAACCATCTGCCAATGTGCAAGATGCAAAAACAAAATATCTCCATGAGCAGGTTTGGGACAAATCAAGCAGTCACTCCACATCAGGAATTGCAACCTCCAAAAATGTTTGTTGAACCATGTCATTTATGAGCGAAATTAAATTCCAATGCAAATGACTGCTGTAAATGTAATTTCCTCCCTAACGTGGTTCTGCTTCCAACCAGCTGGATATTTGATCTGACTTCCTTGTTTCCATGCAGCTTTATTGAGTGAACACAATATAGATCTCTTTTTTGTTGTTGTTGTTGGAAACTGAGTCACTGCAGTTGATGTGCTCCATTTTACTGAATGTTTGAATGGATCCTCTCATGAAAAGAGAGCAGGAATGTCAAAGTAGTTTTTCTCTGTTTTACTGGATTCCCAGTTTGTTTGGAGTCAGGAAGGAAGGGCTGCGCTGGTGCAGAGACACGCACGGATGAATGATATCAGCTCTGAAAACATTCTCATCTTTTTTTCTCATTCTCCTCCTTTCCTCTAGCACATGCACTCACAACTCTAACGTGCACTTTACAAAGATATATAGATATTTTATTTTACCTGTGGAAACATTTATGCACATTGTTCATGTGTCCCCGTATGTCTCCTTCGTTGAAGCCTTGCACTGTAGTGAAGTGAATCAAAGGACACCTCCATTCAAACAGAGGAGTTAACCCTTCCCTCTCCTCCTCTCAGGGCTCTGGTGTTAATCGTCCACGGGGCCGGGGAGCACTGCGGGCCGTATGATGAGATCGCACAGAAGCTGAAGGAACTGTCCATGCTGGTATTTGCACACGACCACGGTGAGTCACAAACACACATTGCATCAGTACCCTCTCACCTGCACTCGTGGTTGCCCTTGTGTTCACCGGTAGTGTAAACACAGAGGAGCTTATGCAAAGGTTCAAAGATGGATCATCATCCGCCTCTCTGTCCTTAGTCATTGTTGAGGGAAAATGTTTAGCGTTTTAGCAACACAAAGATCTCAGTGAAAAACACCACGGTAATCGATTAAACATTAAGAAAAAGGTGCTTTAAAGCTCACGAGAGGGTTGTGAGAAGGTATGAGATAGACAAACTCAAATTCCCCCAGTAACAGTTCATCTCACAAAACACAACTAAAGTATTCAAATCAATACAGCTGTTGATGAGTTTATGATAAACTTCTGTGGTTGAAAAGCACACTGACAGTATTTCCATATCCGCGATCCACAAAAATTGGATCGGATCAAATATGGTACAGAAATTCACAATCCACAGATGTGAATCTCAATGAAATCTCACAGCGCTGATATTGTTGGTTTTGAGTGAAATGCCTGTTTAACTTTGGACAGATGACATTCATGTCCCCCTCAGGAGGCGTTGTAATACCTAGAGTTCTTTTCATCTAGTGTCATTATTACTTACATTATTACTGCTATGTGTTTAGTGCTAATTTGGTGGTAACCCAGGTTGGTGAACGTTGTAGCCCACCTGCTAAACACAAGCATGATCATTTTGTCACTGTGAGGACGCACCTGACCAGTGGTGCCAGGTCTCACCCGGCTGTTGACACCTGAGCCCTACTTGTCATGTTAAAAAATATCCCACCTACATGTTCAATCTGAAGAGGAAATACGAAATGGACCCTCAAAGAAGGATTTTATTAGAAACCGAACAATACCTTTAAAAAAATGTGTGAACGTTTTAGCTTAACGGAATGAGTAATTATGTAATGGCCTCTCTGATACATTCCTCCAACGGGGGCTCTTAGGCGAGGCTGTGTGGTCCTGCTGGTCCCACATGCAGCAGAGCCTCGCTGCACAAAGAGCAGCGTGTGTGTTTAGTAAACTCATGCACAGGGACAGAGGGACAGGAGGCGACGCGAGGAGGTAAAGACAAAAAGTCCCCGCCGTAAATGTAGAAATATTTACACAGGTAGACATCTTAATAAAGAGCTGGCAGAGATACGAGGACGACTGAGGCCGCTCAGGCTGGAGCAGCTCGCTCTGTGGCTGGGCGTAAAATGTGGAAAATACTGAACTGGAACGAGTCTCCGTAGACACTAGTTTTCCCTTTTATCTATCACACACACGCTCGCACGCACACCTCGTGCAGCCCCCGATAGAGTTCAGCAGTTGAGATCTTTCTCGTGTTTTTCCTCTGTCACAATTTCCTTTGTCTCGCATGCAATGCGTTCTAATTATAGGACTTTTGGGTGTTTTTTCCCAAGCAGCCGGGACAGACCGGAGGTTTGTTCCATCTGTTACACACTGCAGCTATTTACCAGATGACAACCTCTAAATATGGCGTGGTGGCTTGTTAATTCATTCAAAATGCAAAAATACTCCAAGATACCAAATAATAATTGATGCATATCACTTGACTCATACTACACACTGACATTTCATGTTGAATCAGGGGTGAAATACTCATAGTGGATTGTTTGTTTGGTGTTTGTCTTCCTGTTACATAATTGGGGCACAATGGAATTGTGACTGTTAATTAGATGGGCGCTGCATCCAGCAGTCTATACGACTCTCAGAGGAACCAAGTCAACAGGTCATTAACTGTAATAAGAAAATAAACATTTGTTTTATTCTATTTAATTAAGTGTATTTTAGAAATAAAAAACAGGTAAAAGAGACAATATCCTCATTTCTAGGATTATGTTCATCAAGCATTCCTCAGCATCCATAAAAAACAAAGTTTGTCAGCATACCATAGCACCCCAACACACAGGCTCTCTGAAGTGTGTCAGGTGCTTGTATTAAGATTCACGCAAGCCTTTGTTCAATAGCAGACATCTTTTATATTGTTGCAACCTTGAATACGCCAATCATGATTCCTTATCTGTTTGCCTCGCTTGTAGGTTAGAGCACAAGGAGTTATTGTTGTTGACAAATCTATTTTTATTTCTGCTTTTAGCCACACAATTACTATTATTATGTATATACTAGTTTTATGCTCAACAACATAAGTTGTTGTTTTAGTACCACAAAAATTGTCCCGTAAAACATTTGTTGTGGCTCCTCCGGTTGTGCAGCAGTGGACCTCAGTGTTTATATGCATATATATATATATATATATATATATATATATATATATATATGTGTGTGTGTGTGTGTGTGTGTGTGTGCGTATGATGGTTGTCTGAAGTGTGCATAGCCGTGTGCTCGAGTGTATCCAAGGATGTGGATTCAGTGGAGTGTGATCTCATGTGGAAGGAGTGCAGTGTGCATTGATCTGCAGTTTGCGGCGCTGCAGTACAAAGACGTCTTTGTGCACACGCGCTGCACCCATACACAGTATTTATAAATACACACACGGACACACCTACTTGTGATTGCTGAGCGAGAGCAAGGTGTGAGCTGCACATGAGGTTGAGGTGCTGGGTGATGGTATTGGTCCAATGGTTGCCATGGCAACCCGCATCACCTCTCATCCACTGCTGCAACAAACAATCCATGAATGCAAAGACATACATATTCATTTTTTTCCCCTCTTCACCATCTGTCAGTCAAATCGTCTTTGTCTCCTGTCGTCCTCTCGCCGCCTCCACCTCTTCCACCCGTGCCTTCTCTCCATTTCCCCTTCTCATTCTCCCGTGTTCTCTCGGACAGACACACCTTTTATTGGAAACCTTTCTGTGGTTGGATGCTGTAGAATCATACTGCTCTAATACTACATTGCAGTTTAATACTATAAATTAGTATTGTAAGATCATACATTCGGTGAGATGTGGAGAGTCTGCTGTCTTTCAGTAATAAACACATTTAAATCCAGACCTAAACTGGTGAATATTCCAAAACATGTCATTAGGTAGAATGCAGTTATTTAAGGTAAGACGTATCTTTATGACCCACACCTCTAAACATAACCAGTATCGTTGAATAATGCATTTTAAAGACAGGAAAGGTTTCGCTGCCTTGTGCAGTGCATTCAGTGTCTCACTTCCTCATCCCTGTCCTCTACTTTGTCCCTCCTCATCCCCACTGCTGTCGCTCCATCGAGCAAACACTGGAAATCATGACCAGCTGAACAGGTTTTCGGGTCAAATTGGGGTTTTAACTGTAGTGAAGCGTTTCTGAGAAAGTGTCTCATCCGTCTCTTATATGTTTTATATTCTTAGTGTATTTTTCAAGACCATTTCGTCCCTCTTTTCCCACACAGTTGGCCATGGTCAGAGTGAAGGAGACAGGATGAACATCAAAGACTTCCAGGTTTACATCAGAGACTCCCTGCAGCACGTTGACCTGGTGAAGTCTCGCCACCCAGACCTGCCCGTCTTCATCGTGGGTCACTCCATGGTAGGACGTTTCCCAGTGGCATCACGCCGTGTATTACAGATTCAGCTGTGGGTCAATCTGTGGGCATCATTTTGTTTGAATCACATTATCGTATTTCAAGTAACTGCTCTGGGGAAATGTTTGTCTCTCTGTTTTGTTTGGTGTGAAATTACATAGCATTGTTTCATAGCTCCTAGTACAGTGTGCTTGACACACACACACAGAGGGACTGTTGCATGAAGACAGGCAAACCCTGTTTAATGATATATTTCATTTTTTAATAAATTGATTTTTTTAGTTTATTCGTATATTTTGGGAATTGCGGGTATTTACTTTGTAGACAAGACAAGGAGCGCTCTCATGAATAATCCTCTGCCAGCAGGTCGTTGATTTAGCATAAATAGTGAAAATAACTAGACTCTGTCCAACAATAACAAAATCCAGCTACCCGCATGACGCATGTGTTGATTCCAGAGACTTAGAAGGGATGGTAGGCAGATTGTGTTACCTTCCCTGGGTGTAAAGCAAGCTGAATACTGCAGTTTCCAGTCGTCGTGCTAAGCTAATAGCGTGCCTGTAGTCTTATATGTCCTGTTCAGACATGAGAGTGGTGCCAATCTTCTCTTCTGACCCTGCCAAAAAAGCAGTAGGCGTATTACACCAAGATTTGAGCTTTTGCTTTAGAAAGTTTCCCACGGCCAAAATCACGACTAAGCAGGTGTTTGTTGTGTGCAGCGTACTGTTTTCCAACGTTTTGTACCTGAAAACATTTTTAGATATTATTAATATCTACATTTTCTGGATCTTCCTTTTACCTGAGTTGGTAGATGGTAAATGCCTGCAGCAGTATAAAAGAAACTTAAATGTGGTTGTATAAATCTACAGAAAGAAGGGAAAACCAGAATTCCTATTGAGAAAACTTACATAATGCCTGTACACAAAATACATCCGTCCACGGGACTATTTTTAACCGTTTAGCGTATTCTGTTTCTGGCAAAACTGCCTACATCACACCCTCTCCCCGTGTTGTTTAGTAAGAAAGTATGTAATCCATCAACTCTTACACCAGCTAACAGAACACAAACGGTATGGATGAGTGATACGTTAAAATATCCATTTTGTGGACGTTGAATGTGAATATCAATGTCAATAATCAATATCAATGTCAATGTCAGTGTTGGTCTGATCAACCGTTTACTCCTTCAAACTCATTTGTGTCAGATGAGCAAACCACTAAAACGTTGTATTGATACAGAACCACAGAACCCACAAATCAATCTGGAGTGTGATATCCATATATGTGATATATATATATATATATATATATATTATATATTTTGCGAGTCAGAAACATTTCAGGCACAACACAAATCAGTCTTTTTAGCTCACTGCTGGCGGCCTCTTTTCACGATGGGACGCGGCGGATGAATGCGAATGCATTCTCAGACTGTTCTGCAATGAGACGCATGGAGCCTTGTTATCTCACGGCTCAGCAGCACGCTTGTTGGATTCATGTATTGTAGGAAAATATATTTAAATGTTCAAAGACATTAAGCTTTTGCCTTCAAGTCAACCAGTTAGTGAGTAACCATGTTAAGTTTCTCTGTTATGTTGGTTTATAAGTATACATTCATACAGTATCGTCATTCATGATGGATTTAGCACATTGTTAAATGACTATTGTTTGCCATCTTTTTTTAATGATGGATAAGTCTTTGTTGTGGATTCTTGTTTTTCAATATTTTGCTTTTACATCACACGGTCTTCTATTCTAGAGCAGATCTTTTCTTCATAATGAGGTCATATTCTACGGCATCTGGCTTTCAGAAGTTTTAAACAACACGTCATTTAATTCCTAGGTCTATTTTTGCAACCCTTTTCTGGCTTGTGTTTTACCGTAATGCAGTAATGTATTTATATAAACACTAATGCAATCTGAAGTCAGGTGCAAATATTTCTGTGTAAATGAAAGTGTGGGATCCCAGACGGAGGCATAGAGTGTGTTTAGATAAGTCTGTAAATATTAGGCAGAGATGACCGAAGTCACTGTGGTACCTCCCTCCTTCCCTCCTTCTCCTCTCCCCTTTTCTCCTCACCTCTTCCCTCCTTCTCTCCTTCCTTCCTTCTCCTCTCTTCTTCTTCTCCTCACCTCTTCCCTCCTTGCTCTCGTTCCTTCTTTCTCTCCATCCCTCCATCTGTATTATCTTATCAGATGTTTATACTGTGCTGTAAAGTAAGCCGGTCCATCTGTATCGCCACCAGCTTTCATTTCCTGCCCCCTTTTCCCTTCACAGTACTTTCTTATAAACAGTTTTGCTTGAAATACATTTTCTCATTTCCTGGCATCTTGCTTTTTTTAACACCTTTTTTTCCCTTTTTATCGTTCCTGCACTTCCTTCACCCACAGTGTTTCTGTGGTATCTTTTCTCATAAGCTCTCATCAGGGAAACCCAACCCAAAGCACATATTGTGCTCCTATGTTTTTACAGGCCTCATTTCCTCAGTGTTGTGACTCTTCCATCCTGTTTCTGTTAGCGTGTTCCTCTGCCTGTATGTATAATTGTTAAACAGGACCGGGGATGACGCAAAAAGCCTCAGGACCATGGGAACGGCCCGTGGATTCTACAGTGCGTGCTGCTCCAAAGATAACATCCTGAGCGGTCCTGAGCGGAGCCCAGCACTGTAGATGAAATGACCTCACACAAATAATCCACCGGCAGCAGTTCTTCAATCAAAAACGTTTTGGGGATATTTCCCACCGAGCAATGAAAATTGAAACAAATGCACGTTGCCGTAAGTGGTGTACGGCTCAAGCGTCTTTAGCAATTTGTCATCTTCGGCCAGGCTGGCTAATGTCGGCCTGTCGGCCCCTTTGATCTTACTTGATGAATTAGCATGAAATGCTTCGCTGACATCCGCAGCACTCGAGGGAGCTGTGCTAATGACTGTGGTGAGCATGTGACTTTTCATCTGAACCCGACAGCAGGTCAGAGTGTTCACGAGTACAGTGAAATATCTCAACAGCAACAATTGCCACAAATACTGCACACAAATGCCGAGACGTGAAGTAAGTTAAGAGGAATTTCAAGCTTATTGGAAATGAGTTAATTAGTCGAAGAAGAATCTCCCGAACATATCAAAATAAACTGAGAAAGTAAATTACAATAACAACTTTTTAGAATCTGTGTCTGATCGACCAGACCGACTTTTTCAGGTTTCTCAGCATCTTATTTGTTTAAGCAGTGATTTGAGAACTGGAGCGGTTTGTTGGTGTCGTACCAGCTGGTGGGAATTCTGACAAATGACTTCAGCTTTGGCTCATTCTCATTCTTCCTAATTCTTCTTCTTCTCCGATAGTTTTTCTGGCTGAATCTCATTTGTCATACTTGCTTAATACCAGAGTTTTATGTTATGGTTTGTCGCTGTTCAAGTCCTTTTAATTTAGCTTGTCATTCTTTCATCGCTTGTTCAGTTTCTTGAACTAAACCATATTTAGTTATCCTTCATTTCCTTTAGTTTATTGCTTTTTCCTCTCTATCACTGTTTAGTTGTTGCTAAATTGTTTGATATGGAGGTAGTTAAATCCAAATCACTGGACCTTTCAATTGAACTGCTTGAAATGCTTCCTTTGCTTCTAAAAACGGGGGAAATGGACAACTTTAGGCGTGGCAATGTGAGTATACGGGCGGTATAGTCCGTATTTTGTAGCAATGTTAACTTCCCAGGGAATCTTTGACAGTTTTCGTCCACCCACTGTAGGCAGACGGACAAACAATACAAGTATTCATCCTCTCAACCAAAGTTCAGAGGGAGAAAATGTAAGAAGGCCTCTAATCAGCTTCTAAAAGGGCTTCTCTGTCCCAATCCACTCTCTCCATGTCAGCCTGCCTCTATTCTGATCCCTATTCAAACATATTTCTGTGGAGCAAACTGGACCGAATGCACAGCGTGCTGTCGGGTGTGAGGGCATGGAACTAGAATGGCCTCGTTTTACTTTTATCTGGACATTCAAATAGATTCAGATGGAGCATTCTACTTTGTGCTGCTTAAATCATCCCAGAGAAATGTCTCCATTTTATGTGTGTGTGTGTGTGTCCTGGTATTTACACACATGGACATGTCAGAGTCAGCTTGTATTTGAGTGTGTGTGTGTGTGTGTGTGTAAAGTAGAAATCAGGTATGGAGCTAGCCAGCTTCTTCCTTTGTGTGTTGTTTGTGTGGAGCCTTTGGCCCCAGCCTGATGAATATTCATACAAATGACAAAGAACGCTCGCATAAACAAGGTTGAAGCCAATTAGTTTGCAGCAAGAAAGAGAGAGAGACCGACTCAGATCCACCCATGCGGAATGGCCTCGCTGGTATGTGTGTGTGTGTGTGTTTGTGTGTGTGTGTGTGTGTGTGTCCCCTCATAGACACTTGCACTTGTTGCATATAAGCAGAGGAACCCCAGCACGGGGAACCACGACGAATTGATTAGAATCTCGGCCGCCACGGCGCTGTTATTCTTCCCGGCCCTACATCGCAGGGTTTGACCCACAAGCTCAAATCACTGAGCCGCTGAGCCGCTGTTCGCCACAGCTTCACCGCGCATGCCACGTCTCAAGAGCCGCGGCTCAACGTTTGCGTTTCTCTCCCTGGCTGTGTAGCGCAACACAGACAAAAGAGTAGAGTGAATTTAAAGGGAACAGGGTTTCTCTGTGAAATAATCAGGGAATTTCTGTTTCTGTGTGTGTATTGTTACATTCCGTGCTCTTTCCTACTCAGGGTGGTGCGATCTCCATCCTGGCGGCCTGTGAAAGGCCCGGTGACTTCGCTGGAGTGGTCCTGATCGCTCCGATGGTCCAGATGAACCCCGACTCAGCCACGCCGTTCAAGGTGCCGCTCATCTGCTCCTCTGTGCTCTTTACCTTCGCTCTCTCATTTGCCCTGTTCTTCCCTTCTCTCCTACTATATTCAGCCAAAATCCCAGTTTACCCGGAATTACTACGTTTATTTAATTTTGAGTGTTGCGAGGCGTGAATCAGTGCGAGTGCCAGTTGAGCAGCATCAGTTGTCTCTCCTTCTGAATCTCGCAGATACAAACAAGTGTGTCCAATTGTCGAGGCCGAAGACGGACGCATTCTTGCATGGGAAGAGAAACGAGGGGTTTCTTTTTCCACTAAACAGTGCATACTCAAAATATTAGTCACTGTATGTCTTTGTAACACTAGTCAGATGGCGAGAAAAGAAATGAGAGCGCTAGAAACATCCATTAGGGAGGTGTTGATGTGTGAAAATAAACTGGGATGCTCTGTGTGTGTGTGTGTGTGTGTGTGTGTGTGTGTGTGTGTGTGTGTGTGTGTGTGTGTGTGTGTATTGTTTTTGGCTGATTGCAGGTTTTCATGGCGAAGGTCCTCAACCACATGGTGCCCAGCCTCTCTCTTGGCTCCATCGATTCCAAATGGATCTCACGGGACAAAAAGCAGGTGAGAGACACATGTGCGTCCAGGTGGGGGGGGGGGCTGTATAGTTATTTGTAATTTAAATATGCACTCTAAAAAATGTCACTGTAAATTAACAGTATTTCACTGGCAGCAGGGACGCCAGGCAATTACCGGTATTTTACGGTAATTAATTCCTCACAAATTAAAGAAAGACAACCAAACTCATTTCGGTACTATCTCATTATGATGACTTACAGGACCTGTTTTTCAGTGGCTGACGTGGGATTTACTGTGATTCACTGCACTTGTATGTGTATTTCAACCACTTCATAAAATATATGTAACATGCAGTTGAATTACGGTAGTAAATTGACAGCTTTAACTGTTTATTCATGACATTGGCCGTTAATTTCCAAGCAAGGGATGGAAATTTAACTATGTTACAGTTATTATGACATACTGTAAGATACCGTTAGAAATGCACCGTAAATTTACAGCAATTTGTTACAGTGTGTGTTTTTTTATTTGTATACATGTGTGATGTCATGCACTGACTCTGATTTAATGGACAAGCCGACATCACTTGAATCCTTTCCAAACCATAATTACTGTTGTGTTGTCTAGCCAGGTGAGTGTGTGTTTGTGTGTGTAATACCTTGAGTGGGTTTCATTGTTATTTATGATTATAAAAACATGTGCATGTACTGAGTCACCTGCAGGACAGGGAGACAACATTGCTTGTGTGTCCTGTATTTGTTTAGTGTGTGTGTGTGTGTGTTTTGAATGAACCACAGAGGAGACAAACCTGCCGGGACCTGTGGCAAATTTGCAAAGTAATGTTGTCTAGTCAAAACTCTTATCTTGGATATCTGTAAATATTTAATATGTATGGGATTCCTTATTATAGAGAACTACAGTAACCGATTAAGGACTAGTTTCAGACATTTTATTTTCCTTCAATTCAAAATATCTATTTAGACCAGTATATGAAGTCATGCATATTAATAATAATGCATTTGTAGACAATGTTATGTAGTTAGTAGTACTAGTTATGTAGTTATGTCAGCAAGAACAGCAAGTGGGAGCAGGAGACGTTTGCTCGCAGGTCCTTAACTGTGTCTGGAGACGAGGATTAATCTGTCAATTTTATAATAATAATAATTAGAATAGTCATCATGTGAATCATGAGTGATTCTCTGCACAAATTCCTTCATGATGACCTCTTTCTATTTTCTAATTATCTTATCAACAGCAGCAACCGCCGTGTATGTATACACAATGTTTCTGATTCATGTTGCGTTGTGACACATCTCAACTTACAGTTATTCATTATTCAAAGCAACAGCGCAGCGTGAGAAGCTGCTTTTGTTATCATCTGTGTTTATTTATAAGGAAGAGAGGTGAGAAGTGTGTAGGGGTTTGTTTATTTGTATGTGTGTGTGTGTGTGTGTGTGTGTGTGTGTCATTTGCTCCTTAACACTGGTTTAAACTAATGTAGAGTTTCACCTCTACAACACTTTTCTCCCATGGAGTCATTGTCCTCCGAAATCTCTTCCATGTTTGGATGAAACCACAGTTTATAGTGCTTGTACGACTTAATGTCAAGCATAATAAACCCACTTTGGCCCATCACCCTTTCTCGTTTGTATCTCTCCTGGCAGGTGGAGACGTATGCCACCGATGAGCTTATCTTCCACGGGGGCATGCGGGTGTCGTTCGCCATGCAGCTGATGGGGGCGGCGGCACGTATCGAGAAGGAGATTCCGTCCATCAACTGGCCTTTCCTGCTCCTGCACGGCGACGACGACAAGCTGTGTGACATCAGAGGCTCCAAGATGATGTACGAGAATGCTCCGTGCTCGGACAAGAAAATCAAGGTGAGGATGGGTTGCTTCCGAGAAGTTTTATGGAAATTTATTGGAAAGGTTTTTAGATTGATATTTTTCAGTGAGACCGCCTGGTGAAATACGGTCAAAGACAATAGAATAAGGACATTGACTTGAATCAAGTAGCTTCATTTTGTCCAAACAGTGCTTTTGACATTTAAAAAGAAGAAGTTAGAATTTAAAATTTAAAAAAGAAGTTAGTTCATCCGTTAATGATGCTAATGATAATAACTTAACTGACAAAGAAAAGTGGAAAGAGACGAGAGGTCCGGCCCACTTCTTTATCTTTGTGGATCTTTGTCTTTTCTATTGAATTGGGTCGGGTTCATGAATTTCATGGACTGCATTATCACCTTTCTTATCAATAATATTACAAAGACAAATAAAAGAACAATCAGGAAGTTTTCGGTTTAGCTACGGGTGAATTGCGCTTCAGTGAATTTAAAATAGACTGAGACTTACATTTCATTTGGTGTTCTGCAAATGAGTTAAATTTCAAATGAGCCGCCTCTCTGACTCTCTCGCTTCTGTTCAGGTGTTCGAGGGAGGCTACCACTGCCTTCACCACGAACTCCCGGAGGTGGCCGACGCCGTGCTGAAGGAGGTGACCGGCTGGATCACAGAGCGCCTCCCCGCTGCAACTTCGCCACAACCGCAAGGCTCCTAGAATCGGGACTTTGGCAAAGCGGCCGCCGCTCCGAGGGAACTTCACACCCTCATTCCAAGAGGCCAGCTCGCTTTCCAGTCAGGCAAAACAATAACACTACTACTCCACTCTCTGCTATATAGATAGGTTTTATTTTCTCTGGATGAAAAAGCGTACTGATTGGGCGCAAACTATATGAAACTAAATATATCAACCTCAAACCAAGTTACTCAAATTGAACAATGGGGGTCGGAAAAAAACGTCTTATTGTAGATCAGTTCTCCTGCAAAGCATTTAATCAGGGATTTCCGTCAGCGGCCAGCCATGTGATCATCTCCGTTGGACCTCTCCGGGGTGCAGCTCAAGTTAATTAACGTTTGTGTGCTGGGCTTCAGCACGTGCAATAATGAAGTTTCCTTTCCTTTCTTTTTAAGAAGTAAGGTCAAACCTGATGTAGTACATTAGTGATCTGCACATTTTCCCCCGGGATGAGAGAGGTCAGAGGTCAGAATCAGCAGGGGAACAGCGCTCCGGAGCTCCCATATGTTCAGTGCAGGGTGAACGGTCGATAGCTCCGTCTTCACAAAGCTTTGCTGTCTTCACAGAGTCATTACGGTGCCAGATCAGTGGATACGGTGGAGCGCAGGTTCCAGGTTTGGTTGGCGTCTTTTGACACTCGTGTAAACTCGTATCAAAAGCACATGTCACTGTGTATATATATCATACCCTCTTTTGTCCTGGCTTTTGCATGTCCCTATTCTTTGGCCTGACAGATGCTCGGCACTGATATATTACATTACTTTCCCACCACCTCCATTTATTGACTGAGTCATGAATGGACACAATGGCGTTCCACTTTCAGTGAGCTTTAACAGTCCACTGCCATGACGAGGACGTGGAATAACAAGGTGAAGCCGTTTTCTCTCCCTGTAAGAGGGAGAATGCAAAGTCACCCCCCCCCCTGTGACCTTTTGACCTTTAAGGTCACAGTTGATTTCACTTTTAGGGTCATTCTCTGCAGCTGTAACATCATTAAGCTCGGACTGCAGACAAGAACCCAGCTGGAAGAATAAAGGGCACCCATGGCTCCGTCACTGCGGACAAAAGAGTAGATGTCCTCTGTTCAACAGCCTCTGTCATTGAGTGACACGTTTATCCAGAGCGGCTCTAAGTAACATGAACGTATGCAACTTCTTGCATGAGTCGATAGTGGGAATCCAACCCCTCAGAACTATGACAAAGGCGTTTTTTTTGGAGAACAGGATGTTCTGGAGAATAGATTCCAGATGAGGAGGAACGGCAGCGATGTGACTGAGAGGATAGCTCTTTCTATGGAGAGACCACTAAGAATTAAAGATTGTACCAGAATATAGAATATAGTCTCCATACATATATGTTAACACATTATTATTAGGGTGGGTACTTTATAGAGAGATTTTAGTATTTGATATGAAAATGTTTTGAAGCAGTTTGTACACCCTAATGAACACTAAATATATAGAGGATATAATTGATTTGATTCAAACTAATAAAAAGAAACTTTACAACCGCAGGCTAGAAATAATGTGCTGTATCTTTTTTCTAAATCCCATCTGCTGAAGCAGTGGTCCAGCGAATATTCTCTATGTTCCCAAAGTACGAACCTGTCACTTCTCAAGGACTCGAGGTACCTAAAATCAGCCCTGGCTTCAAATCCTTTTTCAACAGAACCATAGCAATAATGTCACAGCAGCCTATACTTTTGTTAGCCGTTAATTGTAAGCTAGATGGACTCACGCTGAGCTGCGCATTTTATATTATGAGGTGGACTTTAATTAGCAGTCATTGCTACAGGATTTCTCCACCTATTCATCAAACATGAGAAAGTTTCGGAGTTTAAATGTTGCACATGTTTGTCCACCCACAACATCCAATTTGGAAGACGATCCAACATTCCTATTGGGAAAAAAACATCTAGTGTGAGCCGTCACCCTGGCTCTTTAGAAGCTGTTTTGTATTCTATCACACAGAGTTCAAAGGGAATGGTGCAGAGAGTGTAGGGGAACATGGTGTGGTACCGACGGTGACCATCACTCACATGTAACCACGGCAGCAAGCGGGCGCCACGGTAGAATTCCTTCTCTCCGTGTCTCCATGTCACGTGTAGTAACCACGGTGGTCACTACAAGACAGGTAGAATGAGATGCGTTTTTGGCTTAATGCCTGCTCTGTCTTTTTCTTTCACGTTTTCTATTTCCTCACTCTCCCCATCTCAACCAGTTCCGTCGATTTTTTTTAGTTGCTGTGGTGACCAGCGTCTTTTGTTCTGTCCATCAACAGAGCCCCTTGTTCTAGAGCTTATTAAAACAGCTTGTTCCTTCAGCCACCCCCACTGTCCCTAGTGGCCACTCTTTCGGCCGGAGGGCGGCCACTCGTTTGACAGGGAACACATTACTTGACACACCACGGACTTTGCGAGGCCAAATGTGGTATCAGACTCGCTAAATGACTTCAGGGATGCAACAAACTTGACGTTACTGAGTCTGTATGCAATTATGATATAAAACTGCACACCTGCTGATTTTCAAGCTCTGGTCGGGGTTAGCGTCTGGATTTTGCTTCTTTGGGTTTGATATGGTCTGCACGGTATTGAAACCACACAGTTGCATTGGAAAACAAGAGGTTAATCAATCACGAAAATGAGCACACGGTCGACTTACTTTTCTTTTTATCCCCACGCAAAGTGTTTGACGGATTGGGTAAAATGCATCAAATAAGTAATAAATAGTATACAATAAAAAGAGAGAGAGAGAGAAAGAAAGGTTAAAAAAAATTGAAGGGAGTTCAGAATTGCAGTGCAGTCGACCAAATATCAGGTTACCTCACCTTAGACATTGATTGAGATGTAATGTGTTCGTCAGTCACAGCGGGAGTCAGACCGCAAACCTCAACCTCATATCACATCACTTCAAACACAATCTGTTCCTGATTGAGTCGCGGCAGGCGCAGCACACACAAAGGCTGCACAGTCCCAGTTGTATTCAAACTGGAAATGGGACCCCGGCTGCACGATGGCTGCAGAAGCGCACAGTCCATTTAAAAAGCGCTACCCGACAGACGACATAAGTGCATATCACTGCTATCGTTGTTTATGTGGGGGGAGGAGGGGGGTAAATGGAGATGGGTTGAAAGAAGAAGAGGAGAGAGAAGCCGTCGGTAACCATGGAAGCATGGCTCTTCACATGAAATCATTGGTTTGTTAACGGTGCAGAATGCGAAGCAGACGCCGCTGAGCTGGCAGAGCAGGTTGGCCATTTTGCTGCTCGGAGGATTCCCTTTTTTGCGAGCGTGGAGATAAGAGAGCAAACGGTTACAGTCACCAGCTCACGGGGAATAGAAAGAGCTGCACACTGTCAGTGAATTCAAACCAGGCTGGTCTGCTGTACTCAAAATACACTATTTGCATTTTTGCAAAAAATGATTTTTTTGGAATATTAATGTCAATCTGTTTATTTTTTTCAAAGGGGTTCATGTATTATTTCCCACATGTATCTCCTGTCTTGAATAAAACGTGGTTGACAAAGCAATGAGTAAAAAAAAATAGGTATCCACCATTGTGTAATACCTGACATAACAACTGGTGTGTGGACTTGTACATGCATGCATTGTATGCAGGTTTGCCACATTCAGAAGGAGCCATGTACAGATGCTCTGTTAATGTGTAATAATCCAATCGACTGTTAATATCGTTTTTATTTAGGATCAAAGTTCTATGTTGTAAGGGGTGGGTCTAATGCGGCTGCAGCTTTTCTGACAAAACAAAGTCAGTTGTAGGTTTGTGGAAGGGGTGTTTTCTTTTATCGCGACTTTTTGACTGTTTCTAAGAAGAGAGCTGTTCTGTAGAGGACAGTCTTTCTCTGATTTTATGAGATTAAAGTGCACTGGAAAGATTCAGTGCTGAGCCCGCACGAATGGAGTCTAGTGTCAGTGCTCAAGTGGACAGCAAGACTTGAAGAGGTGGTCTCCAAAATGCTCTTAGTGTATCAACGTAGACGATTCAAGTTGTCGTCATCGTTTCCCAAGCAGGAACTTAAGTTACCCACTAGTCCATAATAGTTATTTGATAAATGCAGATGTCCTTTTAACATGGGTGATATTGCAATTTGGAACAAAACCCTGGTTCAAATCTTGCTGCTTTATTTGATTTATTTATTGTGGTTTATTGATTACTGAACAGGATTTTAATACACTGTACAATAGAATAGTTTATCTAACAAAACTTGATGGTAGTACAAAAATCAAGCCCCAGATGTATTTTACAAATTCCTTATTTATCATATCTACAGGAATTAATTTGATCTATAGTCTACTATATATTGATTACGCATCATGACAAGGCACTTTTTATACCATAAACCATATTCGGTCATTTTTACTGTGACATGAAGCGCTATAATACTTTTTAAGAAGGAAACTTGTTCAAGGTTGTGTGTTTGTACAGCAATCCCAAAAATGTATGACAATGGTTCTGATATGATTTTGCATAGAGAGTATTTTACTACCGTGTGTTAAAAGTTGGATTTGAATTATTTGTGCCGTTTGTCCCACATTTATAAATGTTTAAACTATTTGATTTCAAAATGTTTTGTAACAAGATTGTAACAACAGAGTGTGATCGCTACAGGTTTGGGAAAATCTTGTACTTCTTTCCCAAATTTGCATTTCAGGAATTTAACTTTCTCTTTACTGCTTCTAAAGTATTTTGTCCTTAAAAGAAACTTAAATGTAGCTTTCTGAAATCATAACAACCTGCGTTACATCTTGTGTTACATGGTTGAATAGAATTTGGTCAAAATATGTTTGAGGACTAATTTGCAGGTATCAGGTTTTCTTCCAATAGCCGCATGTTTCAGCATTCCACACAATTAAAGATTTTTATGGGAATTCATATTGTACGTCTATTTTTGAATAGTGGTTTAGTGTTCTTTGTGCCTTTTATTGCGATGACGATTGTGTATCTGAGTGCACGCCATGATTTTGTGTATTGATACAGATAAACGGTACAGAGCTGCGTTAAGTCGAGGTTACTCTGGTTTCTGGTTGTCATATCCGCTCTTAAATAACCCTTTTAAACTGTTCTTTGACTCAGACAAAAGACATCCAACCACAACACTTTACATTATTGATGAGCCTTTTGCTGTCCTTTAGGACGCTACATTGATGACTGTGTACCATTTTGAAAATGTTTTATCCCATTGATTTCCAATTGAGGACAGGAAGTTCTCCCTATTACATGATAACACAAGTTGTTAACTTGTATTTGCTGCACGGTTCTGGTGTCGTGATAGTCATGAACAAATCCCTCTGACCATAGTTACCGGTACTGTTAAAGATCTATATTTGAATTATTTGTGCAAAGGCTGTAATAGAAAACGAAGATAACATTTCAAAAATAGGACAAAATAGTGTGAATTGTTGTCAGGATAAACAGTGTTCATAATCCCATCAAGACACACAGCACGGATTTCACTAAAAATTATTTTTGTTATTATGTTATGGAAAAGAATATAAATCAAATATAAATATGATCATACGTTGACATAAAATATGAAATCAATTTCACATCTATCATATTCATGGGGAGCATCACATCATTTTCCAGTCTTGGACATTAATTCGTTGCTTGTTTTAAAAGCGTACTCAATACTGGTTGACACTATTTGAAAAACCAACAGTCAACTGTATATTTTGGTAGATGAAGATTCTTGTGCTTTTTTATGCTGCTACTCCCCCTATTCATCACCATTATTGAACAATGGTGATGAATCCAACGACTTTTTGACCCTGATGTTATTTCATTGAGTTTTTTTATTGGTGTTGCAAACGTGTAAGTGTCTTTTTCAAATAAATAACACAAAATTAAGAACAAGCTCAAAAAGCTAATATACAATAACAGGATGATGATGCATAGATCAAATTGAATTGGAAATGACAGCTATGTTTATTTGATAAACTGGTTTCTGTGGTGTTTCGTATGAAAGCCCAAGAATGATACAACATCAATATTACAAAGATTCAAATAGCGCTGGCGGTTGAAATCAAAAGCACACATCAGCCATCAGGTGGTGGTATTGTATCACATAACTCATTGCAGACAGCATCAGTTGTATGAATGTTGAGTTTGAGATCCAAATTTGTGCACTGCAAACAATGTTGAATAAGCCAAGGCTTTGGCTGGAGATTGATTTCTATTTCATAGTTTGTTATGGGAACTTTGACTTTTCAATCTCAGGGCAGGACTTTCAAAATGTAAGATAACCTCACTACATTCGACCTCATTTTGATAACACACTTTAATTCAAGCACATGCTCTACTGCATCTTTTCTGGTGTTTTCCTCCATCACAGATTCTCAGTTGAAACAGTCAAAACCTTTTTATCTCCAAGAATTATACATTAATCCTACACCTTGGTTCACCAGCGATCAATTGGCCCAGTAGCCTACTCACTACCCCCTTTGGGAAATCTCTCTTTCATTCTCCTCCCCCTACAACATTCTCATGACAGCCCTTGATAACGACTTAAGTGAAAACTGGCCGTATGTCAGCAGTGGTGATGTTTGGAGAGGATGCATGCCAAAACAGGCAGAGTAGACGAACATTCACACACAGACAACCTATTTTCTTTCAATCCGTCCCAGTCACCCTGGCTTTTCCTCTGGCCTTTCAACCCCCCTCACACACACACACACACACCTTTCTGAGAATGTAGCTGCTGCCCTACGTGAGCCATTTTTGGAGTTTGCTGGAACATTAGCAGCAACTCCCTTAGGATTGCACTTCTAGGAAAACCAAGGCCCGGCCGTGCGTGTGAATATTCATCTGTAACTGTCAGTATAGCTTGGACTGCCACATGTTCCTGCGGGTATAATGGGAAATTCCACACAAGAAAAAAATGACCCAATACACAGGCATTAGTATTATTTACATACAGCAACCGCATGAAAATAAACAGTGAGGTTCACAAGCTAATTGGTTTCAGCAGTGTAATAAATCCTCCCTGTGGGAATTTCATATCGATGATTTGATAACGTTTTCGAGGATTTTTATCTGTTTTATGCAAATAAAGCACACTGTGGAAATGGTTGCAAACGCTCTGAAAACATCTTAAAACAATACATGTTTTAAGAATGAATTACTTCCTGCGTTTATTCTCCCAGCAGAGGGAGCCTGGAGATCTGAGTCTCCTCTGTTGGTTGAAAACCAGAGCCCTAAGCCAATCAGGAACTGGTTCGAGGAATTAAATCCAGGCTTGCAGTGGCCATGGCAACGGCTTTACCTCTATGACAGCTAAGGAATGGAAATGTAAAAGAGGAGATGCTACATGGACTGCTGTGGTGCTCAGGAAACCTCTCAGAATAGGCACCAGCAGATCTACCCTCAGTGATTCTGCTCCACTTCGACTGTCTTTGTTCTGCAGGGGAAAAATGATGGGAGGCCAAACACATAAGTAAGAGCAGGAAGATGGAAGGGTAAACAAGAATAATAACTGCTAATGCAGTGATGCCGTGTGTACACAAAAAAACGGATTGATAAATTTACTCAGATGAAATGCAATTAAGAGAGATTACAAGATTTGACATGTGCATACAAAGGGTAAGCGCAAATGGCTGTCTTATCCAAACAGACGTACAAAGAGTCTTATTATGACGGATGGCAGGTTAGTCAAATGAATTACTGCAGGGTGAAGGCAAGGAAGGGAACAGGGACAGAATCGGTCAGGTTTTAGACATTTCAAAAAAGCTACTCTTACTTAAAAACAAGATTTGGGTTGAAATAGTGGGTGAAGGTAACCCTCATAAATGTCATTCACAAAGGGCAATACATTGCAAAGTAAAACACATCATCTCAAAGCCTGTACATATTCAGACCTGTTGTCTGGAAGGTTTTTTATTTTCTATAATCCAATGTTTAGAGAATTCTTTACTGAAATGTCAAGCATTTTGTGGGTGTGGTACATTTTTGAGTGTAAAAATATACTTCTTCCCTTAATCCCGCCTATGGCCAGATGATTATATGCGATTGGCCGAGGTACTCTGACCATCTGTTCTCATTGGCCTTGCTTTCTGTCAATCAATGTCAACCGCGTTCGGCTCACTCACAAACCACGCCTCCACACGCTCGCTCGAGGCAGCGATTCATTCGTGCGCTGAGGAGCTGAGGAGTGCCTCACCGGGAGGGAGGAAACGTGTGTTTAGTTCATTTTTTTTTTTGCAGGCTTCTTTTGTGTTAAAAAGCCGAACACGCCGGTGGAATAAGGTTTGAATATTGTTTTCGTCGTCACTTAGGGCTGTACTCAACAGCGGCGGGGCGCTACGCAGTTAAACGCCGAGCTCAGGATTTGTCACCTGTCTGCAGCAGCTGACTTGTTACTCGAAGTGAGTGGTGTCATTAGTGCCGTTTCCCGAGGAAAACAGGCGGTTGCTAACAAAGTGGTTAGCAGCCCCGGTCCGTTAGCCTGCCAGCTAGCCAGCTCGGATCCCTGCCGCCACATCAAGTCCCACCCTCACCAAGTGCGTGGACGTCGCAAGAGGCTGCAGCGGTCGGAGTCGGGCGCTTTCTCTTCTCGAACTTAGCCAGCATCGCCGAGCCGTTGGCCGGCTAGCTAATCTACGTTAGCCGTCAAAACGTTAGCTAGGCGACGTCCACTTAACATTGCTGGCTTTACCGTGGGGCGAGTGTCTTCTGTGGAGGGATACGTGCGCTGCACTGGCAAAGAGACTGGCTAAAAAGAAGAGACGAAATAAGAGAAAACAAGGAAGACGGCAAGAAGGAGGGGACTGGCTGGTTTAGCCGGGGGAGACTGAATCTCGCGTAAGTGACACAGTTGATAACGTTGTGTTGGCTCACCGAGCGGCTTATCGGTTCGGTCGCATGGCAGCGGTTACCGGGCCGGCTTCTTATCCGTGGCTTAGCTCCTACAGCCGGTGCGCCGTACTGTAGCGTAAGCTAACGGTTAAGGCTCCCTTGAAGGTGGCAGCCTAGCTAGCGGGGTCCGCTAATGCTCCGTGGGTTGAAGGCGAGACTGAATTCACGCAGCTCTTCCACGTTGCTTCGAGTCAATATCCGCACGACGAGTCGGTCGGTTGAGTGGATCCGTGGACGGAACAGCGAGCTGTCAGGAATATTAAGCTAATCAGCTTTTTTAGCTAGCTGGTTCCAGCCGGCTACCAAGCCCGAGTTTACACGTCGGTTCCAGTAACGTTCGCGTTCAGTTAATGCCGCTGGTTATCTGCTCCACTTGTGCCGAGTGCTTGGGCTCCTATCTATCGGGTGCAGCCGTGGGAACTGTGTGTTCTTTGCCTCAACCCTCGATAAAGTGGCCCCTTAGTGGCAATGTCACAGCAACGCTTCATGCACGTCCCTACACCGCCCGTACTGGTGGTTCGGTATCTGTTAGGTTGTCACACTTGATGTTTTGTTTTTTGCTCTTCTTCGGTAACCCAGGCTGTGCCATTTGCATTCCACCTGCCACGCAGAACTGTCATTATCTACTTTACATCCACAGGCCCCACAGTGCTCGTGCACCAAAGTCAAAGACCGCCGTTTGTTCGCGAGGCAAATCCTTAATGACGTCACAGCCCAGCACCTCAACACAAGTATGACTCTGAACCCAAACTAATTCCTCCCCGATTTTCTCTTCTTCCGTAGATAGACTGCAAACGCCACCACCGCGCCACACGCAGCCATGAGTATTGAGATACCGGTGGGGTTGACAGAACTGCTGCAGGGCTACACTGTGGAGGTGCTGCGACAAAGACCGTCAGACCTGGTGGATTTTGCGGTACAGTACTTCAGCCGTTTGCGGGACACCAGAAGCCAGGATGGGGACACTGCTGGTGGCAAGACGGCGAAAGGGGTGATGTTTGATGGGGAGCCCATGCAGACTGAGTCCAACGGAGACGACGACGATGATGACGACGACGACGATTCTGACTTTGAGCGTAAGTGGATGTTTTGTTGTTATGCTTGTCATCCTGTTCCATTGAGCTTTGTCTGCATGAGTCTGATACCATAGACGGAAAGAATGGGGATTGGATAGCGAAAGTGATAAAGTGAAGCTGAGGCTTCAGGCCTTGTCAGAATCTACCTCTACTCACCTTTTTAAGAGGCATATTTCTTGCAGCGCGCGGCCTGCCATACTTATGCTTATACTTGAACCCAGACAATCTCACTGAGCAGAGTTCAGCAAGAGCCCTCATCTGCCACTCATCTAATTTAGGTCTCCTCCATTCTCATTATCCACCTGGCTGTTAGGACATGAAATAGTACCTTTTAGTATAGTGAAAGTATTGGCAACTTGCATTATAATGGCTTATTACACAAAGGGATTTCTTTTTCTCAATTTGTACTGACTGTTGGTCAACAGTGTTTACCACTTTGCAGCTGCATGTTGGCCTTAAGAGAAATAGGCCAACATGCAGCCTAAAACTTAACAATCGAAGTAGAGCTGGAATTAACTCAAGTAGATGCCCATAGCTTCAACACACACATTTAAGAGTTCATGAACTGTATACGCTGTGCTTTGCAGCTTTATCTATCGCAGTATTTTACCTTCAGCAGGAGTGATGCCATGTCTCGTTTCCATCACTCCCCTGTGTTTGTCAGACGGGCAGAAGATGTAAGCTGCTCCATAGCTCAGCTCTCCTCTGTGCTGCTGAGAGCAGCGTGGCCTAGATCACGTCAGTGTGCTGTGACGCCACGGGCTGTTACCTTGTGAATGGGGGTTCTGTTTTCTCAATGAGTTTATCCGTTGTAATGCATTGTTCCGATCAATTATCGTAGGTGTATCTTCCACAAATTATGAACGGTTTAAGCCTCCGACATACCTCCGGCACTCTGTGAACAGCTGCCAACTTGTATCGGTCGGGTGGATCTTTGCACAACCTCCCTTCCAAACAAAGATCAACTATGGTATTCTTGCTTATGATACACATATCACCAACTAAACTCTACCGTGGAACAAAACAGCCAGCTAGCCGTTGGTGTGCCCGCTCTGCGTACGGGGCGCACCGTGACAAATGTCCATCTGCACACATGCATCAACATTAGGTTTGTGCAGACTCTATTTGACCAGATGAGCACCTTCATTCACTATGAATTATGCGTGTTGAATTCGAAATGCTACCAAAGTGTTGTTATGGCTCGTATGGTTCCCCTCCTGTCATCATCACCGTTAGCAGATACACTCCACCAGTGCTTTAGTATCATCCAGGTACTGTGTGAAGTTAAAAAAGGAATACTTATTTTCAATGACTTATAAGTCTAAACTTTAGTTCTGGTCTGAGTCAGTTGCATTCATAAGTTTACCATCTTTATCTTATGCCAACTCTGTACATTGGTACAAACTAAAAGGGGGATTACAGTTTTCTGTTTCTATGTTCGCACTTGTGCGGTTTACTCCGCTATCTAACAGCTGTGACCTCAGCACAGGGAGCAGGGTGTGAGTGTGCGTGCATGTTATGTCAGTGTGTGCTGCTGATTAAATGTGCACGTGTGGGTGAATGTGTAGGCAAACAGATGTGTTGTGGCTCTATATCACACCCGTTCAAATTCCAGCCTGGTGACGCCATAAAGCAATTTTTCACAGAACACTTTGATTAGCGATCACTTGAGTTTTCTCCACACGTCCTCCTAAAGTGATCTAAATGATCAGGGCGCTGACATGGTTGTGCTCCACAGAGAAGCCTTTGCCTCGGTGCTCAGGGTCATCCATGACAGTTGATTATGTAGCCGAGCTTGTCTACACTGGCTCCAGGGGACATTTTATTTCTGATTGGAACAACACAGGCCTGTATAATGAAAGACAGCTTGTGCTCCTGCATGACTACTGTTATTTCTCATGGATATGAACTATACTGGTGCTTCTGTAGTTCAACAGCACATGCTCCAAAACAGTCTCGTGAAAAAAGAAGACACCCAAAATCTTTGTTATATCTGAAGGTCACAAACATCCAATCTGAACGTACTGATTACAACCCTTGCAGCACTGATCACACCACCGACAATATCGTCAATATATTGACAGTAGTAGGACCACTAATGTTGGACTACAAAAGGTGTGCATATCAGAAATATACAGATGTATGGAGTGTTCTGGCGACCAAGGGCTTAGTTTATGTCAACTTGGACATTATGTACTGTATATAGAAGTATTACATTCACAATGTTGTGTCAGAAGTCAAGTGCCAATATTGAGCACATTCCTCAGGGCCTCACTCTCTCTGGGAGGTTTGAAAAATTATTTTCTCACTTTGAGACTTGTGCTTTATTCTTTTCTTTTTTTTTTTTCTTCAACTTTCCGTTAAGATGATTCTTTAGTTAGAATAGCTGGTTATGTATTTTCATGTATGGCACAATATACTCCTAAAACACAACTTCCTATTTGACATGCTTTTTAAATTCCTGCTGCCTTAATCCACAAAAGGATCACTGCACAGGACTAAACTGCTTAACAAGAGGGGATATTGTTGTGGATATAAACTGTTGTACCTCTGCCATATCTTGTGATGTTTGGCTAAGGATTTTCAAGTAACCATATTTTTATTAAGCTGATTTTCAGTAAAAACAAACAAACAGGAGGTTGTCTGATTTATAATAAATCTTTAATTCAGAGCTTTACTTTTATGTGAATTTTGAGTTTGGAGAATTAGAGTAGCGTTCTGGATCAAATGCTTACTCACCCGGTGTATCCAGGTGAAATGTCAGTTCTTTCCATTTTAATTAAGTTACAAAAGACAGTTGTAGATGAAAGTAGGCACAGGCTTTATGCAAAATACAAAAGGTGTACCACAAGGACGTCTTCCGTACACGTGCATGTTCTTATTTGCTTTTGAGTCTGCTTGTCTAGTTTCAGTCTGGCAGTGCATGTTCACCGAGATAAACGGAAGGGGATCAATGGATGCCGTCCGTGATTGAAATAAGTGGGGCTTTTTATTAAAAGATGCATAGAGAAACGTATGAGTTTCAGGGATGATATTAGAAATTATTTGAATGTGTTTTGCAGGGATAATGCAGTCATTCAGATGGCGAGAGGCTGAATCTTTAAAAAAAAATCAACTAATGCCATGTCAACAAAGTATAACCCTGCTTTGTAGCTGGATGAAATATCACCTAGACTTTAGCCGTAGTGCTGATTCATCCTGCACAGTGCCGTTTTTACCGATTATTTTAGCTTTACCTGTAATATGCGGCAATCATGGATGTCTGCAAGACCTGGAGAAGTTTTAATGTGTGAAAGCCTCAAATGATCTGAAATACAGTATACATTTCCATTGCCTTGAATTCTATGAGTAGCATTCTTTTGGTATGTGTGTCTGTCTGTCATCAGTCGCTTTCACATTCTTTCAAGTACGTTGAACTAAGTGTGACCTAAGCTAAAATTGAATTCAGTCTGTCTTTGCGTCTGTGACGACCGCACCACAAAATGTGTGTGTCGGGTGAAGTTTGTGTGTCAAGCACACAAATATCTTTTCTTGCAAGTTTGGCTGTTGCTAAGGTTTGTCGAGGTGTGGTCACGCACATCTCTGACCTTTGTTTTTGTTTTGTTTTCTCTTTTCTCAAATTGCCATGTTTGGGGGTTGTTGATCCTCAGATACTAATTGATGGTCATTGATGATCCACATTTACAGATGCAGATGTTGGCATTGTGCATGCTGGCTCACTGTAATTGCTGGGATACTAAATGGAATGGGACCATTACCCGTTTCATCAACTAAATCTGTTTTAATGTGCAACCACATGTCAAAATGGTTGCTGTGAAAAAGGCCTATTAAAAGGAAGTGCGAGCAAATGTGTAGCTATGTCAATCTGTATATGTGTGTGTGTATGGCTGGTGTCAGTTCAGTGCTGTGCAACAGGTGACCCGATTAGCAGGCAGTCGTGTGTGTCCGGTGTGCTTTAAGCCAGCTGGCAAATCTAATGCAGCCGAGCATCTCTACATAGAGCCGCCCCACTGGCTGGCTGACAGCGTAAGTGGAAAAGCCCCCAGACGGCTCATGCTACTCAGTCTGGCTTTCTGACCGTAAAACTGTATCTGTCTGTGCGTTTGTGTGCTTTGTCTTTTCATGTCTTGGGCTTTTTGTCTTGTATATTTGTACATTTATATCTTATTTGTGTGTACAGGATGTACAGGTTTCATAGGCTGCCCTTCAAGTCATTCAAGTTAGGCATTGAAAGTCTTTCCTGAGCCGCCAGATGCATTGTTACACAGAACAATCCGAGAAGTCACCGTTGGAAGCTGGTTGGAAAAGGGCGGGCGTTTTCAAAGAAGGACTTGGCAGGAGATTGGATGAACCATCTGTCAATCACACTCTTACTGAAGGCGAGATGAAAGAGTCTTGAAGAAATTCCCTCCTGTTCTGATATAACTGATACCATTGCAGCATATACACGTGCCTCTTTAGGAGGAGCCTTTCTCACGTGATCTTGTGATATTGTGACGGCACCTTATCTAGTCTCCATGTAAAGAGACGTGTCTGCATCCACTTGGACATTTTTGTAGCGGACAGGTCATAAACACAGGAACGTAAAAGCAATGTGTTTTTCCTTTTACAAGTGAACAGAGAGACTAAACCAGTAGAAAGGAAAAACATAAACAGTTTTGTATTGGACAAGAACAACCATCAAAGGACAAAACCCCATAATGACAACGGAGAAAAGGCCGATGGTGCAGTGACACAGCAGGCTGTCATACGTTCTGGCTTGCCCGCATTTACTGATTGTACTTCGGCACTTCCTCATTCTCTGCCCTCCAGTTATCTTTAGTGGCACTGTAGAGAAATGAGGAAATGGGTTGGCAGGCCTTCAGCCAGTGGAGGTACATCCTCCGCCGCTGCCCCTATTTTTGGTTCACAAGGCCCTCTTGTTCCAACACAGAGCGTCCCTCAAGGTTGTTGTCCGATCACGGCCCTAAATCAGTTCCTCCAGTTGCTATGTTTATTTG